GCGAAATGTGTACAATAGAGTAGTATCAGTGTGTCCATTGAGCGTACACATCCCCTAGCTTGGGTCGACGGCCAATTCTCAGTTACCAGATGTTACAGATACGTACGCTTGAGTGTGAGCGAGATAGCTATACCTACATATCGGTATAGCGTGCGTTCGATATGAGTCTTTGGCAATAGGTACTGCTAATAGTAGGTATTTGGCAGTATTCATTTCTATTTGTTTATAATAATCCCTACAACGTACACACCTGTACTACCTGGTGTCTGAGAATTGGCCGCGTGCCCAAGCTAGGGGGTCGTATACGTTCATTGTACGCACTGATACTACTCTATTGTACATGTTTTGTCCATTAGAAAATAAGTAAGGTCTGAGAGTCCTGGGATCTTGGTCTATCTATAAGGCCTAAAGCAACGACAATGCTGGCGTATATGAAGAAAATGTTAAAGGTGGGTATTTAAATCTTTTATCCTTTGATGAATTCATTCAAAACTTCTTAGTTAATGCTGAATATTATTCCATTAATGAATTCTTTACATAATATGGCGTTGTCGCAGACCTTACATTATAACTGCATACTGTACCTAATCTTCTATAAATTTTATAATTGTATCATATTTGTTTGTACCGTTTTATTATTTTACATTATATTGTAACTGTTGACATATTTTCCATTTATACAGGGTGGTGAGTGGTGACTTGCGTAACGCATCATAGGGATTTCAATGTAAAATTCATAACATGCGATTATTGGCTCCCCAAATTATTTTAGAGCAAAAATGTATTAAAGTTTTTTGTAGACAACATTTTTTTATGGCACTCAACCGTATTAGTTTTCAATTTTTTTCATATAAAGACGGAAAATTGGAAAAATAAAACTCGCATCTTTTTCAATAATCTGCGATGCCATGGATAGATATCCAGTTATCAATTAGCAGCAGTTCGAAATGGATTTTATGATCGACTTGGTTACTGTCTTGCAGTTAATGGTGACTTATTCGAACATTTATTGTAAATTGTTATATTAGGAAACCGTTTTTAGTGATTTTGCCTTTCTTTATGTTGAATTCGATGTTCTAAATATAATACTTTTTGATAGAATTTGATTTGTTTTATAGCAGACATTCCATGGCATGACGGATATTGGCGTAGTTTTTGTATTATAAAATTCCATGGCATCACAGTCCCAGTCGCCTTTTGTTGCGCCCACTAGCGGTGACTTTACTACACTAATCAAAGTGAAAAAGGAAATCACTCACATATGTGATTTATTTATGGCACATGGAAATAGATTAAGGACGGGGACGGCATACTATTCATGAGAACCAATAGAGGTCGCCACTGACTAATTGCATTGTAAAATTATATCAAACTTTGAGAATGACTCCTGGGCTTATACAATCATTTTTAGCATGGTTTTTGAAAATATAAATTCTACATACATTACTCTAGAGCGACTATATAATGGTTTGATTAGAAAGACAGTAATTACTAGAATATTGCTAAAATAAGACGACACATTTAATTTTTTATTTTAAGCAATTGTTGAATTTTAAATTACAGTCGCTGCACCTCTTCTTTCAATATTGAAAGTTTTGTCATTTAAAATCCAATATTGCGGCCAGGGGTCATTCTCAAAGATTTCATTTTTAAAAAGTTACATCAAACCAAAGAGTATACTCTTTGATCAAACACAATGGCGACAAGCAGCAGTAGTGCACCTATTTATTTCTAGATGTCGCTAAGGTACAACTTAAACTTGACGCGCGTCTGTAAATAGTTATTTACATTATTAGTGCGGGAACGCATCTCATGCGAATCAAGCAAATACTGTTCACGCACGTAACATGTATTCTATTTTTTGCACGGATTAGTTAAATCGAATTTATATAAATTCAAATCCTTTTCGCGAGATTTTTGCGACATTATAATTCTTTTGAAAAAATCGAGGCCTCTATGCCGATAAAGTAGAAATCTAGAAATTTAAAATGTCAATTTATTGTTCAAAACTTCTGGTTTAAGCTTATTTTGGCCCGTGTACTACAGGGAATGATGTAAACTGTATTTATAATTTCTTTTTTACTCTTCCATCATACTACTTATTAGTTTATGATCCGCACTAAATAGATAATTTCGTTGAATTTTTAGGCACTAGTGCGCGAAAGTAGATAGTCAATTGTAAAACTGACGTTCCCGACGTTCGTGTTTTATTGGGAAAACGCGATTTAGAACGAAGGAGTGCAAAAAATAGTAATTTAATCTATGTCACCCGGCTGTTTTTTTATCTCGGATAAAATAAGCAAAGGAATGTGCACAAGGTCATGAAAGCCAACATATAAAAGTAATTTAATTTAGAGTATACACAAACCAATTGTATAAGTAGATAGTACCACCTACTCAACACGATGTGGCAGCACAATTTATTTACTACAAAGATAATTCTTGACTATCTTTCGATTTTAAAACATGCTGCGACCTCTGATAATAGCTGAATTATGGTTGCTTCATTTCATAAATGCTTCAATTTTTTAATTCGTATGCCGTCCTCTATTCCAACAAGAAAAATAATACGCATTTTCCACAGCTTTACTACTTTCACAACACACCCATTTTAGATGGTGCTTATTAGTGATATGCGATTTTAAAATTAATACCTTTGTTTATTCATTTCAAATTTCATAAATAAATAAACAATACTATAACAGATAACTAAAAGCAAATATTTTATAAGGGTCATTGTGTGATGTGTTGCCTATACTTTGAACACAGAGAAAGTATCTGTATAGACTGTAGCCAATATTCCACAGATTGCTGATTTTAGTTTTTAGTGCTTCTTTGTCATATATATATAAGAGAAGTATATGGATAAACGAGTGGACACGCCTATCGCCAACATTAGTAGAGGGAAATATACTTCTGTCATTAGTAGTGTTGGGAACTATCGAGAAAAAAAAACCATCGAATAAATTACTATTTAGTAATAAGTACTATCGAATGAATTCACTATCGAATGAATTTTTTGAATAATTTTTTTCCTTTATGTGTATTACTTATACAAATACATGGATCTTATATAAATTATAAATGAACAACGTCGTGAACAACTATCGAATAAAAATGTAAATCATCGACTTTTTTCACTTTGCTTATGCCTTATAAATTTATAATGCGTATGGTATGAGTAATTACTAAGTAATTAGTAAACGACGCTTTATATTTTATGTAGGTATTATAAAATTTATAATTCCCAATCCCAAACCGTGACCATCTGGATTAAGAAATAAATAATATTTACATTTTTCAACGTAACATAAGGTATTTAGTATTTATGAACTGTGTGTGCAATTGCAAATAATTCGTTCATTCAAGACAATTCATTCGAATGAATTACTTGTCCACTATCGAATTATTCGAATGGTTTGCGACTATCGAATAGTTCGATAGTTTTCATTCGAATGCGCGCATCACTAGTCATTAGTAGTGAACTAGGCGCTAATGCGCTTGCATGTTATTATGTAGTGTTATTTACCAAGCATTTACTCCAGTTTGACAAACGGATTGAGGTTAAATTGTTTGTTTTGTTTATGAGTTATTGAACTTTTGTTTAATTTTATGTAAAGGAATACCTAATGTTTGGCAATTTTAGTGTGTTCATTACTTAGAAATAAAGAATGCAGGTAGTTGTGGGAAAGTGGATTCTTCGGTTTCATGGCACAAGTAAGTTACAATGCAATTATCTGCAATTCATTTATGCCATACTTGTTATTAGATTCCCACGTGAAAAAAGCAACAAGAATCGGTGACTGCAAGCATGTGAACTATCTGAATTCGATGATGTAAAAACAAGGTTGGGTTCTCGTCATTTTAACCGTTATGACTGCATTGATTTGGATGCACGCAAGCATGATGGGGGCCACTTAACACCTAAAAGATTTCCAACTCGACAATGTTAATTTTATTTTAAAATCAGTAAATGTCTAATTTAATTGTGTTTCTTTGAACATTGGTAATGTATCACTTTGTATTATAGCTGATGTGAACTTATCCAATTTCATGTTATATTCAAGATTATAATCCCTATAGGTATATTATTTCAATTTAAGTTTGTAAATCGTTACAAAGTTTGCCTTCGAAGTTTAAGGGTGTAACCGTAAACAAACTCCGCTGAGGAAGCTCGAAAGTTCTCCGTGAAAATGCTACAGTTTCCAAGCAGAACGTACAGAGTACCTTGAACCAGAACGCACTGGGTGGCACGTGAGCGCTGATTTGAGTTGGCAGTGAAATCATTCAAGTAGGCCATTGACTGCTTGGTGGTCACTACAGGTCCCAAATCCTTGTGTGCCGAAAACAATGTTGAGGGCACAAAAAAGGGAAGATTCAAATTGTCGTCTCTGATCGGTGAAGATGCTAGTAGGGGAATCAAAGCGATATAGTCAACAGGTAAGAAACGCTTCGGCGGCGACTGGTGTTGAGAGGGTGGGCCTCGGCCATCTAGTATACTTATCTAAAGACATCACAGGATCAGACAATAGTGATAGGAGTCGGCAGGTGAAATAGGGCCAATGTGGTGAATATGAACCTGCATGAAGCGAATAGAAGTCTGGGTGAAGTTTCCGAATGGTGCGTGGTTGTGTTTACATATGGTAATTGCACACAATAATGGTTTAATAAAATTTTAACCCTATTTTCGAGTTATAGGTTATGAAATTTGAAATTGGCGCTACTTAAAAGTAGGCGGAGAGAAGTAAATATTTACTTAGGGAGTTTGCGCATAAATACAGAGTTGACGACTAAGGAATAGGGCAGCTCTCTTTTATGGCGAACAATTTGCACATTGCTATCGTACGCGGTTACCCATATACTTCTCTTATATATATGTTCTTTGTAGATTGTTTTACTTCAATAGCCTGCTTCAATTTAATAACTCAACTTTCCCAACTTCCTCCACCATTCTTCATAAAGGTAATCTGCGATCTGTGGGACCTGCAACAGTGGCCAACTTTTTAAAATGCTCATATTGGGTATATACCTAGTTATAAGAAATTCATAGTTTTGCAAAGTCTGTCCGTTAGCACGATATCTCGGAAATGAATCTACCGATTCCGATGAAATTTTGGCAGGTACATTCTTTATCAAAATGGTAGATCGGATTGAAATGGCAATATAGATGAACAATGGGGAAGGCCATTTTGACATTCCGTTAGTTACCGAATGGCATGAAATTCAAAATGAACATGGCTTTAGACATACGTATAATACGCAATGCCAAACTATAGCCATACCCAGAGGCTCGTTTGCTATATTTGTTTAATAATAATAATAATAATTGCACTTTATTGACTGAATATATGTAGTATAAAAAAAAAAGACGTATATATAATGTGTAAGTAAACAATCTCAGCCAAAAAGATCAATTCGCCTAAATGCAGAAAGGTCTGCATCAAGCGTTCTACCATTGACCTTGACAAACGAAAAAAAAAATTAAAAAAAACAATACACTCGAAAGTAAAGATAAAGAAACAAGAACAACAACAACAAAAAAGAAACTGTTGACAGTAATTCATACTCGTCGTGTAGCCAACATGTGCGCTTTTATCGTTCTTTTACGCATTTATTATTCTATTCCTTTTAACTAACAATGTAAAACCAATAAATTCTTTTCAAAACTATGAAACTCAAGTATGATAAATTTACGTACCCTGTATATAGCCGCCTATTCATAAATCGTGAGATAAATCCACTCCTACTTGGTTCATACAAATATGATGCTTCAATTGCATGCAAACATAACGGCCGCGCAGAGGAAGTTTGTACTTAAATTATTTTTATTCATCATATTTAGCTTCAGGATGTCTTAGACGAAATTTAAACAATTTTAATTTGAACTTTTTTTCTTCCAATTCAACTAATTTTTTTAAACTCTCATTAATTTCATTTAATACATTTAATTTAGTTCTTTCTGACTCTGCATTTTGTTCCATTATAGCCTGCATACCATTTGAAAGTGGAATTGCTGTGCTTTCAAATGGGTGCTCTATAGTTGAGCTTGTTGAAGCACCCGAGTGGCTTCGCTTTTTTGTTGGAGTTTCCACTTCTGAGTCGTCTGCCCTCGTTGTTTGTTCTTCACAAAACTCCATGTCCAGAGAGGACAAATCTTCTTTCTTGACCAAATCTGCGAAAAAGACAAAATTAGAAATTTTTAAACATAAAAGAGGCAATTCATTGATTACTGATTAGATGGTTTATTCTAAGAACTTAAGATTAAGGGGTCTTCTGAAATTTTGCAATTTTTTGGCCTTCCTTTCCCTATCCAAAAGTAAAGTAACATTTTAATCTAGTAGCGTGTGAATGCTCTACACTCAATGTTATTTTTGTCGAAATATCAAGTCGCTTTATTGTTTATTTATATTTTCTTTTGTGTGCGCTTCTTGATATTTGAACAAAAATAACATCGAGTGTAGAGCATTCACGCGCTATTTTTACAATATACCTTAAGGGGTTGATTCTATCCCACCAGATAAGCATAGCTTGTAAAACAAATTTTTTAAATCGGCATTAGTTTTACTTTTATTCGAGGTGCCTACATACAAAATGTCATCTTAACAAATAAAAAAATTGGGATTGCGCAAATACAACAATGAAGATTTAATTTCTACAGTTGTGTTTCAGGCGCCATTACCGTAAACAAAAGCTGCAAGTAATTCGCCGTTTGCAACCGTTCTCGACAAGATATTTGAATTATCTTTGCTGCGTCCGAATGCTTATTTAAAAGACGAGGGCAAATTAATATTTTAGAATTTCCAATTTCAATTTTTCAAGGCCGTTGAAAGTTTAATATTCTGCTATACCTACTTGCTTTAAGGGTGTTGGTGTGTGGTATGGTGTAATTCCACTTTTAGCTAATGGCAGAATACTCTTTAGTATTTCATTGCATTGTCCAAAGATCATACAACACTATAATAGATAGTAAGTGTATAAGCAAGTTATTTTGCGTTCTAAGTAGTTCTATAAAAATATGATAGAAGTACAAAGAATGGATATTGTCTAAAAGACAAGACACATAAACATGTTACATGACCTACTGAACTTTCCATTTATTAAGATAAAATTACATTTGGAGGTGGACGTCCCTCAAGAGTTCAGGACAAGATCGCCAATTATCTGTTGCAGATGGGTTGCTAGAATTAAAAAAAAAACATACTCTGGAAGGTTTACGCGTGCTCTTGGTATTTTTTTACCAACCAATACAACTCGAACACGAACTTGTTCATCCCCAAACGTCTCTTACCTGCTAAATTTGGGAATTTTTACAAAAATGTATATATAATGCCATGAGTTTTCAAATTTCAAAAGTATCCACTTGAAATCAAAAAAAATATTGACGGTAGACTCTTAGCAACAATTTAGACAATGAATAAGTTGATAAAATTAATAACAAAATGTACCTTCATAGGTATATAATGTTCTCATTAACTCTTGTTTCATTTCACCGGTCTGCTCTTTAAGTTGTCGATTTGGTTGGTTTTGTATGCAACTAATGTCCTGCAACCAATTTTCGGTTTCTGGCGTAACGATGGTCCCAGTAACAGCTGCAATTGATGTTGAAGATACAGGTGAAGTGGTTCTAGAGGGTCCTGGATACTGCTGTGTTTGAGTTGCAGGAGGTTCTTCTTCACTTGAAGGTTCAATCTTTATTACAGTCTTAACTTCGTAATGTGGTTTGGGAATTGCAGTTTTGGTTAAGTGGACTTTGCTTGCATTTAAGAAATCGGTATCGTTAAAATGATGGTCACAGACAACACGATTGTATAACGCTTCTGTAGGCATTCCTACCAACGTAGTGTTTCCTAAAAAAACCATACCTATATAAAGTTGAGCGAAAATGAAATTAGAAAAGAATTTCAACTGCAATTCTTGCTTGGCACCACATTAATTAGTTAGGGTTATAAACTCAGTTATAAATAAACAAGTAACGAGAAAATCAAATTTGTATGGTTGCAGATGCTTCAGCGCTAGGTCATTCCATAAATGAAGCATTCGTTCCGTTTACATCAATTGAAGTAGGTTTGCATAATTTAAGGGAAGCTTACCCCTTACTGTCAATGTATCAGTTTTCCATAATAAATAATAATTATTTTTTTTCGCACCAAATGATCTATAGTGGCGGTATGTAGACGGTTAGCAGGTAGCTGGTGGAGGACACTTAATATTAAAATAAAAACGTCCATCCACCATTCGAAACAGGGTATTTGCAAGGAAGACGCATGAACTACAGCAGCTCCTTCATGGGCAATTGAATGCTTGGTCTTCACACCACAAGAATGCTAATGAAAAATTGGAAGTAGCGTTGATAATAGTTTTAATTGCAAAAAATTTAAAAAAAGCTGTATTCATTGCTGTTGGGGCAATCCCAGGCAAACACATTTCAAACAAACAAAAATAAATAAAATTCAAAAATAAATAAAAAAGAAAGAAAACAAATACTGTAATGATAAAAAATAATAGTAATAAAGGTAGCATTCCGATGAAATATTGGAATGATAAAAAATATCAGTTGAAATTGGAGAAAGAGGTATTGTGGAATGATAAACAAACATTCCGATACCAGAATGATACAAAAAAAAAACATTTCAATGAAAAAAGTTAAAAGAGCATTCCAATGATGCCGGAATGATGAAAAACTTTCCAATGGAAAAAAGATTCTGGAACCATAAAAAACATTCCGATGATTCCGGAAAGAAAAAACCATTCCTATGAAAACACTCCGAAAAAAACAGAAGCCTGTTTCGCTCGTTTAAATTTTCAGATCTGAGAAATCGCCACGGGGATGCACCCTTGACAGGAGAGTCGGAAATTCGCAAACATAAGGGACTTCGCACGCCACTTCCAGGAAAGACAGTTGAGAATTAGAGCAGTTTTATCGAGTTATTGTTTCTGTGCAGTAAAGACCCATTGTAAATTGTATCCCCTAACTTTTACATAAATACTACATTTTCTAGGACGTAAGAAACAAAAAAAAGCTTTTCGCCCTAAGGCGAGTAACTTTAGTGCATTTTCTATATTTTGATTAGTACCTACTTGCCAAAAGGCCACAGCTGTTTTTCTTTACTAGAATCATCTATGGGTAGAATTTCAAAGAAATGTCTCCATAAATAAGAAAGTTGGCATAAACTGCGCATGCGCACACATAATTTTTACTATATGCGATATATTTGCCTTTCCTAGAAATACTTTGGTTAAAAAAATATACGTGACATGTATTAGGACTAAATTATCCAAGTAGCACGACTTATGCAAACGAGTGCATCGACAATTTGTATCACAGATAAGTGAAATTAATTTTTCATGAAACTTTTCCATGCTTTAGCTTTTGCGACCTTATTGTTGTAAAACAGTTCCCAGTGAAACTAGTTTTATACGGTTGCGCTTTTGGCAACAATGAAGGCCGCAAATGTTAAAGCAGCGAAAGGTTATGTTGACTGCTTAAGACAGGTACCTACCATCCATCTCTCTTCCTAACTATTGAAGAGTTCCCTTTATTTCACTATATGAAAACAAATATACACGCATAAATCTCCGCCTTTGAGACGATGTGGTTAATCCCAAAAATAGCGAATTTCATTTACCACATATTATAATCTGCGTTCATGTTTAATTGAGAAATTACAATAAAATAATAACAATAAATAATATTGAGATTACTACGAAGCGCAAACATAATTTCTTCACCATGAAACGCAAAATGTAGTTCTCAAACAAAATATTTTGGACCTTTGGTTTGGTTGGAACAAGATATATTTTCATCCTTTTTTTTCCTGTGCCCTGTATATTTTAATTACATAATTTTGAGTTTCAATCACAGACATATGCTATAGATTCTATGGTTTTAATATGAAATAGAATATAGAACATATTCTATGAAATGTTACAAATATAAGTTCGTTTTTATGAATTGAATAATTGTTATTTGAATTTATCACTCGAACCTGACATGTCTGCGGGTTTTTTCCGAAATTTTTAATTTTACCTGCATCTCCCATAAACTATGTATTTTCCTTTTCTTTCAGTTTACTACATGCACTGTATGTAAACAATCTGACTAAGAAATGAGATATTTACCAGAGTTCAGTATCCATTGACGAGCACGAATTTCATCCTTCGGAATTCTGTGATGATGCAAACCCGGCTGATGTTCTTTAGATTTTTTGCAGTTTATGAATACACATTTGTCTCTCTTCCCCATGTCTTTATAATTCAAGAGCACTTAATGGTATTTTGTAAATGAAACATCCACCCGTCTAGGTATTCGCCAATCTGTTTGGATGAAGACGCTACGTGGGAGTATTACACTATCTAAACTAACATACTATAAGTCTGACAAGTTAAATTAGAAACGAAGGTATTTTAATTTACAGTAAAGTACATACAATGGTACAATCAAGCATATTGCACCAGATTTCAGAAACCCACACAGGTCACAGCCCTTTGTTCTAAAAATAACTGTGCTTTATAGCATTTCCCCTTCCTTTCTAGTCAGGTAGTTTGTACTATTGTGCTAAAAACATAGCCTATGAGGACAGAGAGTGGACTTATTCTAGAGGACAAATTACGAGGGACAAAAATTTATACCTACAAGTGTGGTCTATCTAGTGTAGTATGATCTTTGTGTGGTTGTAATAAATGTAATATATGTTTCAAGGTTGCATTAAGCCTTGCTTAGTGAAAAAAAAGTTGTAGTTCTGGAATGGTACCTGCTATTATACAACAGTACGTGAACAACAACAGTACATTACTTCCATGCAATCAAAAATGAGTTGCCGAGTCACCTTTGGAATTTTTGTTTACATGTAAAATCGTAGGTACTTAACTTGCAAACTTCCAAAGGAGACTCGACAGCAACTCATTTTTGATCACCCGTTATTAATTACCATAGATTGCAAGTGGATCATCAACTGTTACCGAGTGAATAGGATAAATATTATTCACGTCATGGACTACAGTATTTCCTAGTATTTCTAGCAATTTCAATTCTAGATCGGTAAGTGGTTTGTCATGCAATTCTGTTGTGGAAGCTCGAACAAGTCGTGCCCTTTTTTTGACGGCCGACTTCCAGTCACAAAAAATCTAAAACAAAAATCTACTAAAACCACTCTGCATTTCACTTAGGTATACCCTCTTCCATGCATGCGTATCTCGCTGAGGACCGCCGACTCTATTTAACGATAAAGTAAGGTTCTTCCAGGTATCCTCGATGATATTGAGATTGTCTTGGGAAACCCTTTTACAACGAAACACTTCATTCCGTGCTAACTCTTCCAAGAAGAGCATATACTGGCGCCTACTGGTTTTCGGTGCACGTTTCTTGACTTGTTCCATATCAGGACTACCTGTAATTTTACATTTAGGCATATTACTGCACACAGCAAGTAGATTAATCGCAAAAATTTGGTAATTTACGACTGGCCGCTTTAACGATTGTCGCTAATTAACGTCAAATATTTCTACTTACGGGTACAACTTTTTATTGTTAAAATGGTTAAAATAACGATTATCGGTTACGAACGATGCCGTACTGTCAAGTTTACGTGAGAGGTGAAAGAGGAAATTTACCTGAGCAATTGGCATCGCCGCCATTTTAACTACGAACAACGAGATTGGGGATTCAAACAAACTTTTCCACCATGATTTTTTAAGGGCGTTATTCAATTACACCAAAACTATATGAAATATTGCAGAATCAAAATCAATTGAATAGAGTAGAATGGAAACTCATATAATTTAAATAAAAGCCCAAAATGTGTAACTTATATCGATTTTATTTATCCTGCTATAAAAATGTGAAGACCTCCTGATGGTATGTTCCCTTCGTTGAACGGGATTTTATTTAAATTATATGGGTTTCCTATGTGCTCTATTCAATTTTATACTAGATGTTGATGCTGCAGTCGCTGCAGATGAGCCCAATATTTCATGTAGGTACCTAGTTTTGGTGTAATTGTTGTTAATCTGAGAATTGTACCTATTTGTATATTCAATCAGAACTCGTAAACTTTTACTTTCAGTTGTAATTAATATAAATTAAGATCGTATTTGTACTTTATTGTTGAGCTAATGATGACAGGCTTGCTGTTGAAGCGCGTTCAAGGTTTAAAAACATTATTGTGGTTTATTGGTAGGTATCTTTATTTTACTTTTGCAACAGCCACAAACTATAGTTCCATACTTGTCATATCACACATAATATTGAAAATTCAAGTTATGGCGACGCAAACACATCTCGTTGCTCGAATGGGTCAATGTTTGAGATCTTGGATTGATCTCCGACTCTTCGAATAAAGGACCATCAGGTTGTTTCGCAACCAACGAATAATTTTATTGTTCACATTATATAAATCGATTACTTTGAGTAGATAAGTTACAAGTATTTTGTTGACGACTGATTTTGATAAGACTCAAAATGTACCTAACTGCTCAAGGCTAACTACGTAACATACTATGAAAAACTCCTTTATTGCGTCCATATGGTCGACAAGGCAGCCGTTTTGCATGGTCACATACGTTATACATAAATTAACTAAATTCTGACAACTTTATAGGTATATAGAAATTAGTCAGCGCTTTTCCTTTAAACCCAACTTAGGTTTAAATGGGACGGAAGCCGTAAATAACATATTGAAATGCTGCTGAATTTGTATACAAGGTTAATTTGTGATAAAAAGAAAGAATTATTCTAGGCCTAACAAGTCATGTATAGTAAAATAAAATGCTATGTTACCTACTTATAGAAAATTTAAGTATCAGTTTCCGGCGACCATTTTCTCCACAACGAGATACCAATTTATACTATCGGAATTTGAGTTGTGTTCTGTTTGACGGGAAACCGGGAAACCGGAAAATCTGCCACTGGAAGAACAATTAATACCTAGAGATTTTGACAAGCACCACCCATAATAGTTATTTATGTATTAAGGGCATAATAGTGATGTTTATATTCTCGAGGGCGACGAGTTAAAAAGCTCGCCGAGAGTATAAACATCAGTTTATGCCCGTGGTACATACACAATTTTATGTTTTACAAATAGTTTTCTTCGTCAAAATTCGTTTACAAAATAATTCATCATGTTTGATCGAGTATGCGTGGTTCGAATTTGTTAATGTGATTGAAACCATCCAAACGTCAAACGTAATTTTAAATAATTCAATTCATCGTGAACCCAGAACAAGTTCTATGATCGTGAATGAGCAAGAAGTTCCAGAAACTATACGAAATAAGGGCAATCTTGTGATTTAGTAGGTATTCACAATTAATAATTGACGTTTTTAATTTTCAATGACCTGCAAATATATGTATGTTTTGTCATTAACTATAAATGAGTTACTATGGTGATACTGAGTGTTTTCGGTTTTGCGCATAAGTTGACGATAAATGTCTATTTTCGAAATAATCTCACTACTTGAGGTTATTTGATATTCATAAAATTTATTTGGCAGAGTAAAATCACTGGGAGAGGGAAAGACTAAGCATTAGTATAAAAGAATGGGCATTCGTCGATATTATTATTAAGTAGAGCGTTCGCAATACTAACAGCTTAAAAATGAAATTCGTGGGTTTGATTCTTGTCGTAGCTAAGGCGTAAGTACTATTTTTTGCTATTATATAATGTCTTATAGAATTAGTCCGGCTTTATTAAGTGACATTAATTATAAATCGTATTATGTACATATATGTACAATATCATTTACATTATCCGCATAAAAATACAGTTTGTTTCTTTTTTTAGCAGATCTGGAGCCAAGTGCTGTCCGGAATAGCAGGCAGCAGGAACGTACAGTTTTTTGTCTACATAGAATTTTAATTACTATGTATAGAGTTGAATAAAATGTAGATTACATATTGACGTTTAATTTAAATTGAATAAAACACATTACAAGACGTATGTAATAAACAGGAGCGGACCAAAATTGAACTTTGTGAAACGCCGCACATCTCTTCATTGCAATCTAAAGAGCTAACACCATGTGACACTAGCTACCTGATATCTCCCCTTTAGAAACTTAGAAGTACCTAACACCATTGAATAAGTGATAATTGGTAATAGTGCTCCTAAGTCAATATAATTTATTTATTTATTATCCCTTTCTTGTTCTGGACCCTAAAAAGACTTGCGCCCAATTACAGTGACCCGCATAGGTCATGCTTTTTAGAGGTGTCTCTGCAGAAGGTCTTAAGTTGTTCTATACTACTCCGGTAGATAGGTACCTTACGAACTAAGAAAACTGCAGGAAAACCTAATTCGGAATAGCCGGCAGAATGCTCGAAATTGGTCTAAGGAAAATACAAAATTATTACCTCAGCCCAGATTCGAAGACCCGACCTCCGGCTTTATAGCCCAACGCTGTACCATTGAACTACATAATGAAGAATTAATAACAGAGCGGAATGTCTGATGATGCCGGACGCCCGCGAAAAGTAGTATCAAGATGTAATTTTGCAAATCAGCGCTGTTTCACAACTATATAGTTTATAATAAACACTTATTATAACTCGGGGAGAATACTGAACAATTTTCCTGTAGGCTGTACAATGACTTTTCAAAAACTTTACATACATACTGGCAAGACACTGATTGAACGCAGGTCAAGCAGGCCAAGGGATTAAATTTTTTGGGTAGTGAGGGTACCTTAGCTATTTTTCAAAATTCGGGTACAGCGCTGTATGGAGATTTGACCAGATAAAAGATAACTGGTAAATGGTAATATATGAGGAAATCACCAACAGTGTTAGAATGGAGTGCGCTGCTCGTATGATATCTTCACCGACAATTCATTTGAAATTAAAATTGCTTGCAATGTTGGGTAATCGTTGACTTGTTTAATGAGAAAGACGTGTAAGTAACACCTTTAATTTTCCTAAATTCTTAATTGGTTGTATATTGTAACGTAAATTTAATTACGTGCTTTATTTATTTACAACAAAGGGGCATCGCATTTCAATATTTCCTCATTTTCCGGACTTTTATGTAAATAACTATTTAATTGCTGCAACTGTAGCAAACCGTTGTCCTCCAGGTGGATGGAATTTTACATGCACGTAAGTTTAATCTCTGAAAATCGACTTTCGGGAAGATTTTTACGTAGTGGTTTTGAATTCCGGGATATCTGCACTATTTTTGTCGATGTCGACTGGATATCTTCTTTATGGAAATTTTCTAATTCACTCTGAATGGTACCATAACCAAGACGCTAGTTGGCTAATACAAGAACGCATGCTGTTTACAAAAAACGCTGGGGATGAAGAAAAATCGCAAGCTCCTTAAAAAATGTTTCAAAATGGAATGTTATGCTTTCGTCGACGTTGCCAATGGAAGTCGTCTTGAGCAACGTTTATCAATTATCGCCCCGAAAGGAAACTGTAGAAACTGTAACAAGTTAAAAAGTAATCGTAAACGATTTACATAAAGCGCATTTCCACTTGCATTCATTTCCCATTTGTAAGATGCAACTTCTGTTAAAATCGTAAAAATCCGGCCACAAATATAGCGTTGCACATGAGCAATCCATTGTTGACGTGCTACTTCAATTTCAGTTTATGAGAAGAATTTCATTTCAATGCTTTCTAAATAAGAAAGTTGGAACTGCGCATGCGCAAACCTAAATTTTAAAACTAATGTTAGATTTTCCTTTGTTCCAAGCGCCTAAGTATCACATTTCACTTAAATAGTTCCATAGATAAAAAAGTTGGCACTGCGCATGCGCAAAACCAAATTTTGAAATTGGCGTTTGATTTTCCTTTATTCGAAGTGCTTATGTATCAAATTTCGTTTAAATTCTTCCATAAATAAAAAGTTGGCACTGCGCATGCGCAAAACCAAATTTTGAAATTGGCGTTTGATTTTCCTTTATCCCAAGTGCCTATGTATCAAATTTCGTTTAAATTCTTCCATAAATAAAAAAGTTGGAACTGCGCATGCGCAAAACCAAATTTTGAAATTGGCGTTTGATTTTCCTTTATCCCAAGTGCCTATGTATCAAATTTCGTTGAAATTCTTCCATAAATAAAAAACTTGGCACTGCGCATGCGCAAAACCAAATTTTGAAATTGGCGTTTGATTTTCCTTTATTCGAAGTGCTTCTGTATCAAATTTCGTTTAAATTCTTCCATAAATAAAAAAACTTGGCACTGCGCATGCGCAAAACCAAATTTTGAAATTGGCGTTTGATTTTCTTTTATCCCAAGTGCCTATGTATCAAATTTCGTTTAAATTCTTCCATAAATAAAAAAAGTTGGCACTGCGCATGCGCAAAACCAAATTTTGAAATTGGCGTTTGATTTTCCTTTATCCCAAGTGCCCATGTATCAAATTTCGTTTAAATTCTTCCATAAATAAAAAAGTTGGCACTGCGCATGCGCAAAACCAAATTTTGAAAATGGCGTTTGATTTTCCTTTATTCCAAGTGCCTATGTATCAAATTTCATTCAAATACTTTTATAAGTAAAAAAGTTTGCAATTCGGTTTATAAATGGTCGAGATGCGAAAAGGGCCCTGTGAATTTTGAATCGATTCGATTCAACTTTTGGCATTGCGTATTATATGGCTAAAGCTATGCCCATATTGAATTTCATGCAATTTAGTTCATAACTAACGGAGATGTAAAAGCGATCGAACATTTCTAAACAAAGTTATCGTTCACACGGACAGATAGATGGACAGACAGACAAAGGAACAGACGGAGAAATCAACCGGCAGGCGAGAGATAGCAATGCAAAATTATAAACGATCTCTAGGATCGTTAATAAACGGCAAAAGTGTAAAATTATGGAACATGTAAAAAACGGTTTTTTTTGTTTTTTTTACAATAACTTTTTTTGTAAGCGGTACAGAAAAAAATCCTTCCTTGGTGCAAGACTCGACACCATAACGAACCAAATAGCGAAAAAAGTAGAACAATAGCTCTTAAGATAAAAAACTAGTAGCGTCGCAAAGTTAGCGGACGGACGGACGGACAAAGTGGCCACAATAGCGCATTTTTTTTAAATTTTTGTGGAAATGCGCTAAAAAGGAATTAAATTTTTTACAAGTACAAGGACAACGCCTTAGTACTTACTGAGATAACCTACAGCACACAGCGCTTGGAGCGGATATAAAGAAACTGGGTCAATGGCTCATTATGTTAACTTTTCTTTTCTTCAATTAATCAAGTTTAAAATTAGTGGGTGATTCCTCGTCAAGGGATTATACTGATGTTTTTTAAAATTTTGAAAATGTGAGTACTTTTAGCTTTACTAAGCGATTGAAGCATGATCGATTTGTTTCAGGTGGTGTTTAGGGCATGCAATACCGGGATCGCAGGATCCCGAAATCCCTGGCTCCCGCAGCATTTTTGCGGGATCAATCCCGCACATAAATGAAGTCGACCAAGAAGGGGACGACTGTTTAGTTTGTTAATGAAACGCATAACGGAGAAGTTATTTTTTAAATAATTGTTAAACTTTTTTCGTTAAAAATGTACCTACTATGATTTTTGAGGCACTTTAGAAGTTCACCTTTTTTTGAGATCCAAGAAGGCTGAAGGTACTTTTTTGTTCAATATTGTGATAATTAGCGATTTATTTTAATACAGAAATTAACCGCACAAAATTGCTTATTTGCCAATTATTTATTTAAAATTTTGCGGGATGCCGCAAATACCGGGATCCCGCGGGATTAACATCTAACGATCCCGCAAATACCGGGATTGAGATTTTGCTGCAGTATTGCATTCCCTACCCCTAGTGGTGTTATAAATGTAACTGTGTGTGTAACTCTTTCAGGAATTGCAACACGTTAATTAACGCAGTCGATCGTGGATCGGAATGCAAGTATTTTGACTCCTCAAGCAATCGTTTTAGAGTGAATCGCTAGAAACACCGGAACAGAGTCCTCTTCCTATACTGGTGAGTTCGTCATTAAAGGTAAGATGCTTATGTTTATGTTGTGGAATACTTGTACTTTCATTATCGACGCTATTTGTTCGTATGAATTAGAATTAAATAGGGATCTCAAGTTTAATTTTGTAAGAAGTAATTTCGTTACTTTTAAATAAAGCACTGGATTATTTTCTTGTGAGAAACTATTATATTTTATCGCTTTCCCAGTTTCATACAAAAGGAAGCTTCAATCATTTAAAGAAACTAGGTGTCCGAATTCCTAAGACAAAAAACTGTCATTTAAAATACGTTAGGTATGTACGCACAAGTAGAGAACGTCAGCACAGTTTTATGCAGTATCGACTAGTTACTATGGATACAATAAACAAAACAAAATCTCGATGAATCCATGGCCTACTACTTAAAAACAGGAAGGATTTTTATTGATTTTCATGGCTAAATATATGGGTTACTTATGATACATCATGTAATCGGGAAAAAGAAGGTAAAAAATTATCAAAGTCCTCGTGTGAGATCGAAGGGACTTCAGCGCATTTTTGTGTGGCAGATCAGTATTCTATTAGCCACTTTCGACTCAACCATCAATAACAGATCTTGTCGAAGGCTACTACATTCACTAACTGTTTCCCACTTTCCGCGTGCACCCGCAATTCGCTTTTAAAGTTAAAATCGTGTCGGGGGCTACCACATTCCCTTTGACGGTAGCCACTTCCGACGTCCCCTTCACCCACCCGCAATTCGCTTCTATTGGCGACACGAGAAAGAGAGACAGCGATTCGAGATTTACGAAACGTTAAACCGCGTGAGTTCGCAACGGAAGGTAAAAGCCCCCCGAAGTTGACTACTTCTCGAAGACGCGCGCGCGCGCCTCGCAAAATGTCGTTAATTTCGCCCATAGGACAAAAAACAAAATTCCGCCACGCAGGAGTTGTGCGCGTTTACAACATCTTTCCGACGACACCAATTTGAAAAGAATCGGACCAAAACTGTAGTAGAAGATAGGAAAAAACTGAAAAACCTTCATGTTAGTATACTACGCTCGAGGATGACGCCCAGATGTCGCCAACCCCACATCATATAGCCATGTCCCTAAGGTTGACAAATTTCACGGCCTTGTAGATACACGTACACCCGTTGCCTTTCTACAAGAGTTCTTCTACGCGCCCACATTTGCAGCCAGCCAGCCAGCCAAAGTGAGATTAAAAGCTACTTTTTACAAATAAATTTGCAAAAATGCGCTAAAAATTGACGCAAAGATATACAGGTGTTACTTTTAAAATAACATTGTCACTGATTGTGAATTTTGACTATTATAGTGGACGCCTATTTAAGCGCCCAATTTTCAACTTACTCATGCCAGTGAGAAAAGTCTAAGAAATTAGAATAAAAACAGCTATATCTGATCATTTATTAATTTATTAATGCAGAGATTATTTATTTTGGTAGTAGTGGGTGTTTACCATGAATGAAAGTACATTGATACTGAGATAGATAGATTAAATATAAAAGTTGTAGGAATGACAACGAGTCATCTTACTATATACCAAAAAATACAGTAACGCACCATGGATAGCTAAGCGATAACAAAATAATATATAGATATATGTTTTAAATAGAACACCCTGTATTTTATTTTATTTTCGTAATGTCCATATTTTTCTGAATTCAAAGATATACCACACCATACCTCTACCTTAAACCATTGTTGAGTTATTAAACAATTAAAATGGTTGATATGCTACTATTACTTGCCGTTTGGGAAATTATTATAATTAAAGTCGGCCATGAAGTATTATTATACAGTATACACGGTGCCCATTATGTATGGAATATATAGTATATATCTCTGTAAATATCGACTGTAGGTATACAAAATTTTTCTATATGAAAGTTGTTTAACATTTTAATTCCCATAATAAGGAAGCATTCAGTTGTTTTTATTTCAGAAAACAAAACAAAAACAAATGAGTAACGAATTTTTTTAAATGGCAGTGCACCTTTTCATTAGGCTCATTTGATAGCGACGTTTTTCCTTTTTCGATGATAAGAACATGTAAGTACCCTTGTTCAAGAATTTTTTTTTTAATTTATCATAATTAGATAAATAACATTAATCCAGATATCCTACATCAAAATAAAATAAATGAACGTGTACGGTTCTTATTAAATCTTGAAGACAAAACGAAATTAGCAGTAAAATGGTTTTCATCGCAATGAATGTTCAAAATGTTAATTGCAAAGCAGTAGCATAATCTATCACAAAATGCTTCTTCTACACGGTTGCTAACGTGTTACGTCATTGAAAATAAAAAAAACTCTATTAAATTAGCCTGGTGAAGGTATGCATTGCTATTTAAAAAAATTCAATTGTTTTTGGTTATTCGTTTGTTTTCTGAAATAAAAACAATGCAATTCGGCCTTATTATGTAGCCCAGGCACTTTAGGTTAAAAAATAGACAAAATTAGTAACTAGCTGATTTTTGGTGAGTTGTTAGTGTGTGATAAACTAAGTATTTTCTGAAAGTTCCCCTCATTTCCTCCGCTTGCTTCACCCGGTGGAGCAATAAAAAAGACCGAATACAATAATATCGCTATTGCGGCTCCATCTCCGGCACAGTTTTGGTGGTTGTGTACTTAAATTGTTCAGAATAGTAGTGGTTATGCTAAAGAATAACCACTACAACAATTCATGGCATTTATAACGGTTTTCTTTAAAATGTTTGGTAATTTTTGTGACGTTACAATGAAACATAAAAAAATTGCAGTCTCTAGCACAGATACCACCCGCACACCAGCGTATGCGCAATTCTACCCATTTATGCCTAAGATTATGTGTACCAAATTTGAGTCCAATCCGGTTCAGCCGTTTAGCCGGAAATGAGAGTACCTACAGACGAACCGACAGAGCGACAGACCGACATCATTGAGATTTTGTTTGATGTTTGATTCCTGGATCCTGGTGCTCCAAAACGTGCATTTCCGTCAAAGAAGTGGGGGGTCATTTTTGACTCCATTGAAATACCTCCCTTACTCGCAGTGCTTCCAGTTATCCAGGTATTTAAACATCCAAACGCTGATCCAGAGATCATTGCTGAAGCTGGAGAACGCTTCCTTTTAGAATTATACGGTTACATATCAGTTATGTGAAAAGTAAAAAAAAGCATGTCAAATAACTTATAGATGTAGGATGATTCACAAAATCGGCATATAAGAGTAAATTTGATATTGCGTCGCTACCACCAACAGAAGCAGCAACACGTGAACATTTGTTCCGAACCAATCGCCAGATTCAGTAGAGGAATGTAACAAAATGCAGAGTAATGGGGATGGAAGATGGAACAGAAACATGTACATTCTTGTTACTACACTCGAAACCCAGCTCCAGAAACCTTATTAAAACTGATTATATTTTGCAAAAGCAAAAATGGATCCAGAAAATCTGGGTTAAAATGCTCCGTTATATGCGGGAATTGTGGTGGTAGGTACCAGAGGTAATAATTCGCATCAGGTCCTATCACATGATAGCGATGATGAAGAAACTGATGACTGTTTTAGCGCAAATGTATGATGGAAACAAAAACCAAGAGGATCGCGATTAATGTGATAATCCCATCGCGAATGATGCAGCAGAAATTTCGATCTAAGGAATTCCTGCTTCGTCGGCGTTTCAAGAAATAACTCACCACTTACAGAACCAGTTCGACTCGCCAACTCGATGAGCTCGACCTCGCGCTACACTCCATCAGTCAGAAGACCCACATCCGCGCTCAACGACAACGCTCACCGCGTGCACTTCGGTCCTTTTGTGAAACGGATTCAAGGACGCAAAATGAAAATTTGAAGCAGTATTCCCGAAAAACTGGAAATACAGCCCTGTGCAGCATATTGATTTGATCTTGCTTGATCAATAATGAAAGCTTAGATACCGAAGCCGAACGTTTGTTTATTTGGATATTTGAAAGAGGCATATCTTTGACAAGTCTAGCAATTTTGTCAACGACTCCAAAACATCTTTCTGCGCAATGGATAGTATTTTATTGTCAACAGAAATTGATTTATACATCGACACTATGAAAGCACAAGATATGGCAAGTCTTGGTAGTAAAAGGTACATTTTGGATTTAAAAGAAGTATGCTCGCAAGTACCTAATTCCATTTCAGCTGGTTAGAATGGCATCAACGATTGCAAAAACTAAACCAAGAAGCACTTATAGAAGCAGCAGCTGTAAAAGAAGAATACGTACAGGAGGCATTGGTATCATTTGGGAAAGTAAGTTTTGCGTTTTTGTAATTCACTCAAAATTAATGTTGGTAATAGATCATGATATTGGTGCATGAAGCTATACTTTCAAATGTATGGAAACGCAAAGTGCTACCTCTTCTTTTACGAATGGAAAATGATCCGCCTTGCACTTTTGTCGCATATTCGGTTCTTTATCATGAAGCCGTTTGTGTAGCATTACTAGAACTTGTCACGTATCACGCAAATGCCGCTCAAGCATTAGGCGATGCTGCAGCAGATCTTTTACACTACTCGTACGGTACGGTATCTCAACTGCTTGTACTTAAGGAAAATAGCGAAAACGAAGATAATAGCAAGGTAGAGCTGATCCGACAGCGAGACGATTTAGCGTTTGATATTGGTATACGATCTTTAACGATTTTAAGATACCTTGGAGACTGCTTAGATAGGTAAGATTCTGAACTTTTTTCTTTTGCAAACAATTGTCTAAGTGTTTTTATAGATTACCTTTAGCAGTTACAGCTCGAATGTTTGGGATCGATGATGTACCTGTACTACTGACACAGATGTTAGTAGAAAGACCTTGGATTAGAAAAGGTAAGCAATACGTGGGCGGTAAATGGATGGACTGGGACGGCGAATCCGTAGCAAAAGTTGAAGCGCAAGTATGACCATTTATGTTAATGTGACATTCACAGATAGTGTTAGGTATGGTTGGCACTACGTCAGTTGTTATTAGACCCTTCGTGCCCTTCACACTACAATATAACCGACGCGAGACGTAGACAGCTCATGAGACTCCAGCAGTTTTTAACCCCAGTTTTGATCGATCAAATCTCACCACTCATCGAGCTACAACAATGGGTGTATAGGCTATCGGTCGCGGATCAACCCTGCGCACCTCCAGTGCCCATCTTACTTGAAGTAATGCTCGAAATTCAAGACAGAATCATGGCCACCTGTGAAGGAAAATGGAAAAAAATCGCAAGGCAACAATTGCCACAAATTTTTAGTAAAAACCACGACGATATTGTGCAAACCGCCCAATGGTAAGTGTTCTTCCTGTTAACTTAAGTCAGTTGAGCCCATGGCGTTTTAGCTTAAGCGAGGCGTATAATGCCGAACTACTCGAAAAGTTGGAAGATATCAATAAAAAACCCGAGAAAAGTTGCGTTAAATGCGGAAAAGGGGCTATGCAGCGTTGTTCCAGGTGTAAAAGTATTTGGTATTGTTCTCGTAATTGCCAAGTTACTCATTGGTCTACTCATAAGGATGATTGTAATGCTGCATAAGCAGAAATAATATGTTACCTTTTTTTACAATTACCTAAGTAGGTACTTAATAATAAAATATGGTTAAAATCAATTTCAAGTCTTCACAAACTGCACTTGTAGATAATATGTGCTATGTCCTTAGACAACCGCGTTGACACGCATTTAAAGGAAAGAAGCTCTTCTGAAAATGGAGTTGTGTAATTGGAACTTAAACAGGATGTTCTGTAAAAGCATGTATTTGTGAGCGGAAGAACGTTGTTGCACAATATTGCGGCTCCAGGCCCGAGGTGTTTTAATTGTTTTATTAATAATTATGCATATAAGTGGCACATTTTGTTATAAAAATTCTGAATCTAAGAATAGCTATTTATTGTGCTATTGGAAAGGATTACTGGTGATGAGCAATTACATTCTTGCCCGGTTTCACACAGGATTATTAAGGTTAATCATGATTTTAATACAATGGGTATAACATCTAAAAGGTCCTATTTAACACATGTACGGCGAACGTGTTCGTTGGACAGATCCATGCCAATTCGTATAGCCGGCCGGAGTCACTAGCGAATCGATTCGCCCAACAAGGTAATCTCTCGTTCGGTTCGCCAAATCGGTCTGTCCCCGATTTGGAGAACTCAACGAGATGATGATCATAACTTTTTAATTGTGCATCTTTTCTCTAATTTGACAATTGTTATATCTTCTATGGTTCCAGAGATCTCCATGGTAGACATCCGTATCGTGGACACAGAATCCGCCATGTCGCACTCCGGCAAAAAGTCCCGCCGCCGCAAAGACCCCTCGATCGCCGCAACGTTAGTGTTCGACTTTTCTATGTTCTGTAAGAAAATGACTTTACTTTTCCAATGCGAAAGTTTGGGTTGTAGATACCACCATAATCTTCTTTATTTTTTTAAATACGAAGGTTTTTCCTTTAAGCTTTTTGTCTCCCAAAACTAGTGTTGTAACCACTTGCAATACTCGGTATGTATATATGCCAGGTTTTTCCTTGCTGGATCCTTCGGTTTTTTTATATGTTGGGATGTGATACATAATCAGGAAGGGAATTAACTACAATGAAGAATTTTGTGCGTAAGAAAAGACCAAACGAATAAATACAGTACGCACATCACAAGACCATTCAAGGGAAACCTTCTACGATACAAAAACCCTGACAAATCGACTATGTCAACAAATTGCAAAAAAATACACAAATAAAACATCTCGGATTATACGATAAAAATGAAGCAATCGAATCAAATACAGTTAAACAAATTCATAAAAACACAACACACTAGGCAACATAAAAAGTGGAAAGCATGACCAATTGAGATAAAACAACTCGTAAAATGATAAATTGCATGTACATAAGAAAACATCAAAATGGCGGGGCTCTACTGCAGCAGAGTTAACATAAATTAAATTAACACGAAAAGTAGGTGCGAGAATGTCAATACCAAGTGTACATGTTTAAATCAATTATCGCCTAAGGGGACGTAAAATGGGTGTCAGGTGTCGGCGCACATTTTATCTCCCAGTTTTATTTACAATCTGTCCTAGAACATTAAGTAAATGTAATAACAACAATAATGCTTTAACACAACAATGCATGATAACTTAACCTCAATATTAAACAAACAGAATACTTTAGACTTTAGAGTGATTATAATACCGAAAATGAATCATAAACAGTAAGAGGGTTGACGAGTGTGTGAGGAAAGCTATTCCATTTCTATTCACGAGGTGATATTTTTTAATAATTTTATATATTTATGATGGCACCCTTAAAAACCGAAGAAGAATTAGAACCCGGAACCGAAAATTCTTGCTACGGAATCAGAACCCTTAACTACCTAAGTAGTGCGGAACCGGAACCTATACTTCACATGGGTTCCAATCCCTGCTTGTGGCCCTCTCTCGCAGATCGGGTTGGCGGACGGAGCGCTTGTTCCAGTATGAGTATAGTTCAGTGATTTCCAGTGTATGATCTATCTATGTAATGAAAAAGAGACTGCGAACACTGGTTTCATTGAATTAAATTAAATATCAAAAACTGTGTGTTTATGAATTTATTACAAAAACTTACAGTTACAATTACAATTAAATTATATTAATTTTAAATTAGAAAATATAATTTACATTACTGTATGAGTATTGAGCATGTATTCTTATTACAATCAGTATCGTTGCTAATGAAACACATACACTACCTCAGATGACATTCCAAAATTAATCCCGCGTTACCAGTTGTAGCGACATTGCCTTTAAAAAAAACGAAACGGCTACAATTTTGTAAAATTGAAAACATTTGCGATCGTTTCCCAATGATATAGGGTTAAAAGCATAGATGAACCACAGCAGTCTTATTACTAGATGGTGTATTTTGTACCGTTGACAAACATTGTGTGATTGCTAAAAAGTGTTCGAGGTGATATTCATTGACACAATGTGTTATTAGTATCGCGGTGAAATGAAAAAAAACACCTTTGTGAAACCCAAGAAGGTTAGAAAAAACAAATTCATATGGTAATTTTAGGAATAATTTTTAAATGCGTGAAATATGTAACCCGAAACATTCATACAAAATAAACTACCTATTTAATTTTTGTAGCTACCCTGGTAAATAAAAAAAATTTCCACATAGAAAGCAGTTATAAATAGGTACAATAAAAAACGCTTGTATAAACTAAAATTGTACTTGTTACAGTTATTGAGGCAAGTAGAGTATTGTGTACAGGTTTGTATTTCATCAGACCACATTAAGTGGTTAGTTTAATAAAAATGGCACAATTCACAGCGAATTACAATTAATAGAGATTTGATATGTTAGCTACGTTTCTTCGTTTAACGGAGGCGGCGGCTCTTCCACCGTATTTTGCAAAAGGCCCGCCTTTTCTTCCTTTACACTTCCGCAGCCATTATAAACCGTTTCATATACGGGATTCGCAAAGTTGCCAGACTGCACACATCGAAAAAAGCGATCAATTAAACAATCAAATGCATAATTGTTTAGCAACGAAAAAGATAACATACTTAGAGGAGATTAGCATATATGTTAATGAATTACTCAAGATTGAAGATCAACATACATAAGATAGCTCTCATTAGTATTATATAAGCTTGGAATTTAAAATTAAGAAGTTGACTAACATTACAATGACTGCCTGTACGAGGTGCTGTGACGTAGGTATAGAAGGCGGTACTCAAATAGCTAAAACTGCATCTATGCATTAATCACTTGATTTCAACAATTCCGCACCAAATCTAATGGGTCTTTTTAAATTTTATTTTGTAATTAGTCAGCCAGGTTTTCAATCACATTAGTTAAAAAAGTGCAAACCTAATTTTTTAGAGAATATTACATAATATCTATGTGCACAATGTGAATCAACTTTAGAGAATTTAATTCACTTACATGTTATGTGCAAGATATCATGAATCCTTGCAGGTAACAACAATTTCATGTTTGCCTTTGACAAATGCTGATTATCAGGGGTAAATACACAAGAGCTTGAATTTTAATCCGATAATTTTATTTTTACTGCCAGCAACAATTGATCACATCTGATAATGCAGATATTTAAATATTAAGTAGGTCCCTGCGGAATGTTGAACTGGTTAGAGGCAAAAATCCATTTTAACTCCTGAGAGAGAGAGAGTAAACAATATCTACCATTTTTGGGTTTTGGGCCTTGTATTTTAAATTTGATAACTCATAATAAAAATTCACAGCCTGTATCTAAATCTAAAATAGTTAGTCCGAGAGTTGCCCTGTTCCACGTTTCAAATGAATTCAAACATTTTTAAAGCACAGATGGAAAGACCATCACCACCAATTGTTAGCTGCATGATCAAAATCGAAAGACTAGGTATATTATGTAGATGTACAACTTACCTTATCTGCATCTAACGTAAAAGGTTCCGCGTCTCGTTCTTGGTAAATGGGATTATTAAAATCGTTCTCCTGAAGTCGCTCGTGAGCAAACGGATGTCTGCGACGCAATATAAAGTAAATGGCACCCAACGCGCATACAACCAGCACAAAAGAACCCACAGCCAGTAAAGTCGACAGCACAGCATTTCCTCCTTCGACGGCGATTTCACCGACGTACGTTTCGCGACTAATAAGTTCTGTACATCTCATGCCCTTATACTCAGAAGTACAATGGCAAGTGGGCATTCCATCGACTACAGTACAATCTCCTCCGTGTTCGCAGTAAAACTGGCAGGCGGCAGGCTGTTCGCAGAACTCTCCAGTCCAACCTTCGGTACAGATACAGATCGGCAAATGGCGTGGACCCCCAACTTTGCAAATGCCGTCGTTGTGACAGCGTCCCATGCATGGATTGTCGTGGCCCAAATAAATCTAGATTAAAAAATGTCACAATTACTATTATCTTCCATTTAATAGTCAATCAGGTCTTGTTCGCTCATGTAAAAGGAAATGATCTTGACTTAGTACTTCTCAAAGGACTTTTTTAGCTTGAAAACTGTTTAAACCAAGACCATTCTGGCTTGATGTGAGTGATTGGAAATTTAGCAAGTGTTAGGCCTAGTTGCAACCGAAGATCGTTATATTAAGTGGACTTTTGTCACATTTTTCTAATAGTCATTACCTACCACTTAATTGCAGTTCAGAATAATTGCCAAAAAAGTCTTTGTTAGAAAAAAAGGAGCAATGTATTATTTCTCTTTGTTTCGTTTTAAATACAAATTTTTATTTTCAAAATGATGGCAAATAGGTCCGACTACTATTAACTAATACAAAACCCCCCCGCGCGCGCGTCCCCGGGTGGCGGGTAGGGGGACACAGACATCTGAATGACTGTAAAGTGACTCATGCATCGATGATAAGTGGCTCGTCGCCGCGGATTAACCTCCTAAGTCAAGGTGTTAGCGACCCTGCCGAAGACTGTTTACTACTGGGGTGCAATGTCGATAACGGAGCCCCTCGGATACCGGGCGACCTCCAAGTCGTGGTCCCTTTCCTTCAGTAAGGGGCTGGCAGCAAAGCCCTGGGTTCAGAGCAGACCGCACTTCTACACTACTCATGGGAATTGTATGGACGATAATCTAAACAAACTCTGCCTGGGGTCCTCGTCAGGGGGGACCAAAAAGCCGGGCTCGAAAGAGGGGACGATTCCAACGCAGGGCGTGCTAGTGGGCCAGCTCCTATCCGCAAAAATAATAGGACTCTGGCAGACAGAAGGCGGGACCAGGAAGAATAAAACTTCCGGTCAAACGGGCTCTGCGTCAATGCCTAAGACTGTGTCTAGGCCGTTGGCTCAGGGAGGCAACTCAATGTGAAGGACCAAGCATCTCAGATCAGAGGAAAGCACTTTAGGATCTGACTGTGATGTACAAGCTCCCAGATAAAACGGTCACCATTTTGAAGCACCTCCAGAGGCAAATTCCTGGTTTCAGGATGAGCCTATGGAGGACGTTCTTGCGCAAGGAGGACCTGGTAAGGCCCTCCTCGCATATGGTGTGGATGAGACATCCTATCGAGCACTCTAGTGGCAGAACGTTCAAGCACACACTGGGATCTGGCACATCACATTTGTGATGAAAGCGAGTGGTCCCGGTGCACCAGGTAAGGGAAAGGGCTTCACCGGAGACGGAAGGGACTCGATCCTTCGTTATCGACCTCCAAAGGGCGTCGGGATTACTACCGCCGCCTTCAGAGGTCGAGAAAGATGTCGACGAGCTTTAGGCTCGTGTGGTGTGGCTCCGACCAGGGTTGGAACCGTCGGCACCACTAGGAGAGGGGGGACCTAGTACATCAGTGACCTGTTTAATAGGTCAACAACATTGCTGTAAAGCAGACAGGAGTATGCGTCATATAAGAACCTTTGGTTTACAGGGGACATGTAAAAGGTCTCGGCCAGGTGGAAGACTCATCTCTTTATTATAAGAGGGACCTCAAACCTAGGACTTGCATTTATCTCGATAGACGAATTGAGTGTTATGTAATGGTTCATTTTTGTTTCAAGAACCAAAAAGAGCTACTCGGATCGGTGTAAGGCTGATCGACTCGCAAATATCTGCCCAGCTGGTTACCAAGCGATCTCTGAGATGGGCGATCAACACGTTCAGCCCATTTAAGAATGCAGGACTGGACGGGATATTCTCGGCTCTTATGCAGAAGGGCCTGGAACCGCTGCTCTTACATTTGTTGAACCTCTTTCAAGCCTCCCTGGCTTTAGGATATATCGCCGAAACCAGGAGAAAGGTAAGAGTTGTTTACCTACCTAAGCCGGGTCGTACCAAATGATATGGCGAAGGATTACAGGCCCATTGTTTCTTCTAAAAACAGTGGAGAAGCTGGTGGATGTATACATAAGGAATAGGGTACTGTACTGGTCCTTAGACCACCTCCTTGGTCACTAGAGGATGTCGCCTAATTATTTTTAGGTCTAAATTTTATGTAAGGTTGGTAGGTAAGTGTCGTCCTTCGTAACCGCCCAAATGTAATTATTGTGTTTATCGTTAGCGTTTCTCAACAAAGACTACCTACGATCAATCTACGTGGTTTTTATTTTCCCTCTCCTCGCCGGCGAACTTTTACCAGCCCTGCACTACCACGGGTCCGTTTCGCTACAATTGTGGATAAAAATGCAGAACGTTTCATTGCATTATTTATACTTGGAGTGGTTAGTTACGATAAAAATAGTACATTATATATCAAGGTAAAGAAGTACAGTATTATTGCCTGAGCACCAAGATTACATCTCGAGGCCCTTGCGCCGAGGGGTGTAAGGTGCGAAGGCAATAATAGACTTCTCAACCGTGGTATATATACTATTTTTTTCACTACTAGCACTTGAAATCCTCTAAATTAACATATTATATTGATAAGAAAGTTAACGGTTGGACAGAATTGTTTGTTTCTTAATATAACATATTAATCAAGTACGTAGAAGTACAAGTCAAACAGGCCGTATTTTGTTGTGTCATTGAGATATTTTCAAAGAGTAATTTCGTTCGAATTTTTTCAAAATGTGATAATTTTAGGTATGTAATTTCTCTGAAAATGGCGGATGGTGGCAATTATTCATTTTAGAGAACTTGTCTAAACGTTTATTGAGCGAAATTTCGGGTTGTGTTTTCTAAAAGTGACAGCGTGACAGTTCTCATTATTGACTACTAGTTAATAATGTCCACATTATTAATCACTTTGAACAAATGCCGAGAAAGCCAACTTTACAAGTGGAAAAAAGGTTAATAATCATGTCATCAGACGCTAGTAGTGAAAAAAAAAGTTAAAGACGATTAATTAGTGCTTTTGCTGGCTGTTAAATCCTAAGTATCCAAAGGGAAAATTGACATTCGCAAACTGCGGAACATTCGAGTCGATCGTTTTGGAGATTTTTTATAGCAATTTATTTTCAAAGTCAATTTAACATTCCTGAAGAGGTCGACCCACGGAAGCTTATTCCGTCATCAGTCATCGTGCTAGATTGGCATACTTAAGTTGGAGAGCCCACTAGTGAAAAGTAAGAAGGATATAATTTGTGTCCAATAGATAAGGACGTATACCTATTTTCGTTGAATAATTTATGACTTATCTCAAATTAGTAAATAATAATAATAAATAAAAAATAAAAATCAGATGTTGCATTAACGTTGGAAACCAGTGTGTATAGAAAAGGAAGTTTTTAGATGTGATATATAAAAGCAAAATTTGCCAATATGCTTTAAATATTCCGTAATTAATTAAATGCTTTGTTATGGAGCTCTGTTTTGGAGGAAATACAAATTATGTGGATTTGATTCTTTATTTGACAATTTCCTCCTAAATGAATATCTATGGTTTGAATTTGGTATGCATTAACTATGATGCCATTCATTGTTCTGGCCAGGTCTGGCCTGTGTTTGGCAGTTGCCACAAAAACATATGGCTTGTCTAACAATGGAAACAATGACAGCTCCCATTTTCGAATTCCTATACGTATTTAAAAATTAGCATCAGTTTTTAAAAAACCCACAAGAGTTGTTCATTGTGTTTTTGACCGCACGTGCGGTAAAGGAGACTTGGGAGTGATCTGGGGAGATTTCCGCTCGAAGGCGTTTTACTAGAATAAAAAAAACTTGGAAAATACTCACTTCACATTTAGATCCTCCCCATAAGCTCGTACATTTGCAAACTTCCATATCCGCTCGAACCTCGCAAGTTCCATTATTTTGACAACCGCAATGGTTTCGGCAATCCGGCAAAGGATTCGGCAATAAGCACTGATTAATTTCGCATCTGCGACCGCTGTAAAGGGGCGGACACACGCATTCAAGCTGTTTGGTACCAATTCGGCACGTTCCACCATTTTGGCAATGCTGAAAGCACGCATTTTGTTCGCATCTCAAGCCGACAAATCCAGGCTGACAGGTACACCAAGGTCCAGTAGGGGTTAACTTACAACTACCGGAATTGACACAGTAATGATCACAATCGGATTTCTCGCAACTTTGACCAAAGTACCCTATGGGGCAATGGCAATTGCTGAAGTTTTCAGTTCGCGTACAGACGCCACCGTTTTTGCACTCTAGGTGGGCGCAATCCTGACAGCGCGCACCAGTGAATCCAGGCGGACAATTGCAATGGAGTTGATCCGGTCTGGGATTGAAACAAGTTCCACCATTGTAACAGTAATTCTCGCACATATTAACGGGAATTTCGCATCGTTCGCCTGTCCACTGAGGCGGACAGTTGCATCCCAGAGGAGGAGGCGTATCTGGAGTTTTAGGGGATAGTAAGTCGATGTAGCACATTCCTTTGTTCCTACAAAACTGCGAACAGCGATATTGCTCGCAATGGACCCCTGCATACTTCGGCGGACAAATACATTTGGGCCCCTGTCCTGGAATTATCTTGCAACTGCCTGTATTACAATTTAGAGAACACGCCGTGGCGGACGTACTAACCGCTTGGCACGTCTGAAACAAACCGATTATGAGCAACGACACGGTCACAAGAACGCGCATTTTTAGTCCGACTTATGTTGGAACCTTCTGATACACTAACAATAAAGTAAACTCTTAATTATGTCAAATATGAAATAAATGGGAATTCCATCGACCGACCCGACTTTCCACGTACGGCAAACAGCCAAGCAGGTACTTACCAAATTATCCTTGACGAAACCGTCCGCACAAGTGCACGTCGCGCCTCCTGGAGCGAGAAGGCAAAATTCGGATGTATGGCAAAAGTCCTGGCAGCGATTTGCAATTAGCCGCTCTTGTCGATGTTCTTGAACTATAAGAATGTGTGACAACCGTGGAAGCCCTTGGGCAAGGTGAGAGATATTTCCACGGCCGAATTTGTCAAGACGCAGAACGTTATGAGTGTGATAGGTTGAAACAAATAAATTATCTTCGAACACTTCCAGCTTGTAAGGCCGTTCTTCTGCGAAAACAGAAAAAAAACTAAATTAGTTTCAGTGGAAATTACGAAGGGGGAATTCGCGTGGGCATTACCTTTGTATTACATAATCGTCTAAGAAGAGATGAGAGTTTTTACCAGCAATATACCTGGTAATCCTTAACAAGCTTGACAAGATTTTTGCCCAAATCCAATTATACTTTCGCCTTGCGTAATAAAAATATTTCGAATCGATGTAAGAATTGTGTATGCAACATTTTAATAAAACTTCATGTACTCTGATAATTACAGGAATCAAGACGTACTAATCGGCTAATTAGCTAAATATAGACGGTATTTTGTCATAGCCTTCGCAAATTGGTGTGTACTTTTTATAAAATTGTAATAATTTAAAAATCATTTATTAACTACGTTACAACAAAGGCGTCTATCTTTAAGGTCAAGTTAATGATCATAATATGGACTTTCACAGTAGGTACAATTTGAGTAAATGTATGGTAATTTATTCGCGAATTAACAAACCATAAATAATCAATTATCATAATTCGGACTGAGAGGGAAATTGTATGCAAAAATAAATCGAAGTTTGCATATTCAGACATTCAACAGAGTGGTGGGAAGCTAGAGACGTAGAGAATGCAATCGGCACTTGTGAATTGTGTAAAGGCACATTAGTAATCAACCCCATATAAAATATCTCTGGAAGTTGCACGCGAACACCTACTCGCCAATCGCTTATTTCGAAACCAGTCCATCGCAATATAAGGAGGTTTGGACACGTGAGTGTGTGCGTGCATTTATTTTTTTATTAGATTGGTAGTTGAAGTTTGGTCAAGCATGTACGTCTCTCGTACGTATATTGATGTAATTGTAATTAAAGACTCGATTAACTATTCCTATTTATTAGCTTACATAAGCACAGAACGCAAGATGTGGTTGCTGACCTGCACTCTATCTTATGTACCTATACTACCTAACAAAGCAGATGGTTTACTTTAGGGTCTGAGGTCCTTAAATACGGTCCTGCACTCCTGACTTTTTAAATTCGTTTGAACACGTAAGGCGCCTGTGAGTCGTGGGATGATTGTCTCGCGTTACAGACAAAATTTAGTTTGTATTGCAGTAGTTGTTATGTGGGTTGTTGCGTCATGAGGGATTCACATACTAAACGGAAAATTACTCCAACTCCACGTGGAGTTAATTTACAGCCGTCAATGATTTGGTTGGACGAGTAAAGTTAGTTGAATGGTGGAAAAGATTTGCGTCAAGGGTAATGGGTGTCGATCTAAAAAAGAAAAGTAGTGAAAATTGGTTAAGAGATAACCGCCTAGGGAATCGCGTAAGCGAAGTTAAGTTAACCACCTGTAAATTACCGGAGAGTGTGCTTTATTTTGTAAACAGCAAGGATGCTATTTATGCTCGCCAAGAGAGAATGCCGGTCTCAGAACTCTTAATAACTGTTCTCCAATCGTAGAATAGTAAACCACGGGATTGTAACCGGCATCAGGTGTTCTGTGACTGGCATTCTCTCCTGGCGAGGCATTAGTCCAGGGAATAGAGGGTTTTAACTTGCAAAATGTCATAGACAGTCTTCTGGTGGTTAAGAATTTAAGTTTTCGACCTCCCACCCCTTGTGCTTCCCCCGTACCACCCCCAAAACCCCTGAAATTTGGTTGGTTTCTTAGTTTTTCAATCCCGTCTTTTTAATGGTTCACTTTAGAAAAAAATATTGTTATCAGAAATTGTAGACCATAAAATTCTAGAGAACTTTGATATAGACTACTTTTTTGTGAAATGGGAGGGGGGATAAAGGATTTTAAGGATGAAGCTGAATTGAAGTGAGATAATTTTTTTGTTCCACACGTATATTAGAAAGCCCTACAATCTCACAGTGATTCAAATATCCCTACTAGCAAGGGTTGAAAGTTGAATTATTATGCATCCCCTTTGGTAAGGGTGCAGCGTAGGGGGATTTATACCACGATAAGTTCAAGATATTTTCTCATAAAACTCTTAATTATAGAGATAAAGTATAAAATTTGGTTAAAACATCTACATAGAAATTTCAGAATTCTTAAAAATATAAGCAACTCTGAACCGTTTTTAATAAACATTTCAGAAAAAAGTAGTGTATATCAAAGTTCTGTAGAATTGTATAGTCTACAATTTCTGATAACAATATTTTTTTGAAAAATGAATCTATAAAAAGATATGATTGAAAAACTAAAAAACCAACCAAATTTCTTTGGTTTTAAGGGTGGTGCGGGGGAAGCACAGGGGGTGGGAGGTCGAAAACTTGGATTCTTAATCACCAGATATTCTTTCATGACATGCAAACAAAATTGGAACTACTTCTCGTTTTGCAGGAAATGGTCCATTTTCAGTCTCTATTTCCTGGACTACATTATAATATGGGATTGCCAGATCACGGTGTATTTTCGCCGCGTATAATGCGGGGTTGTGACGTCACTTGCGGTTGCGGACTGGGCCGCATGCTTTGGTTTTTGGTCCTTATGTATGAAATCATCGGTTTTAGGAAAGTTATATATTATATTATAGCAGTGAATTCTGACAGCCAGGTTCGTTGGTGACGTCACGTACGACTTAACGCTAGCAACATTACAAGCATAGGGAGCTGGTTATCCTACGTTATACATATAACATCCTAGATACCTGTAATTTAGAATTAAGCGCTGGATGATTATTGTTTCTTGGGACACCTGTAAATTACTGTGGGGTGGAATTAATTTTCATAGATAATTTGCGTTGATACAAGGAAATTAGGGCAGGTTTTTAAAAATGGGTTGGAACAAAGCCTGTCAATCTCAGAGAAACCATAAGCGTCTACCGCTACCCTCAAACAAGAAGAAATAATTTTTGCAGGATGAATGCGCATTCGTTCTTTTTCAAATATTCGAAGCGTAGTAATTCGGAAATTTCAGTGACGCATTAATAAATATTTTATGGTTCGTGAAAAGTTATGTGATAATATGCAGAATTGTAATGCATTTGTTAGGGTGAAGATAATTATTCATAATCGACCGTAAATGTGATAAATTTGAGGTGCATTTCCTTTTAAAACTGTAGGTCAAGGAAAACTACTGCTTTTATTTTTTATTTATTGTCCCTATTGTTCTAGACCCTCAACAGGCTTACGCCCAATTACCGAGTGACCCCCATAATGCTTTTTAGAGGTGCCTCTGCAGAAGGTCTTAAGGTGTTCTATACTACTCCAGTATTTACCTTACGAATTAGGAAAACTGCAGGAAAACCTAATTCCGAGTAGCCGGCAGAATGCTCGCAAAGGAAATTCCCATCTCTGCCACAGATGAAAAATTCCTACCTCAACCCAGGTTCGAACACTCGACCTCCGGTTTTGTAGTCCAACGCTCTACTACTGAACTACAAAGCCGAGCTGCTATTTATGTATCTAAGAAGGTAATGAAAATTTTTAAAAATTATTCCGGGTGCTGGTCATTTCCCTTCCCTCAATTATTCACATTGACCGATTATGAATAATCGCGGCATTAATTACTTTAACGGTAGCATATTGACAATTCGCCATTCCAAATAACAGTGAGACCTCTGGTGGCAGTACATTGCAAAAATACAGTTAGAAGAAGACCGCCATTTTGATAGCGTTTCTTTATTTCCACTGCACTTGCGCAAACACAAATAAGCTGTCCTAGAAAGTTGTTTTAGTAGATCTTTCCAAACGTAAATAGGAGATATATACGATGCCATTCTTTGACACACTCTGCTGGAATCAGTGTAATTACGGTACAATTAATAACGTTCGCTTAAAGCGTCAACATTTAACACGCAACATTCTCAACAATTTACTTTGTGATCAGTGTAATGACACTACTCACGGTATGCATAACTTAAAGCGGTACCTATATATTAAAACATGCCACATTCAAGGTTGGCCTTTGCGATTATGTCCCAAATAGTAAAAAAAATTAAATCATTATTTATTAAAGCACGATGGAAAAGAGCAAAAATATTGTTGGTAGTCCTAGTGTAATTATGCTACGAATAGGCTATTTCAAAGTGTCGTCTTTTAACACACTCCACTTCAAAATATATTAAATGTGATCAATGTGATTACACTACAAATAATAAAATACATTTAAAACGCCATAAAAAGCAGTCGGAGTCACTGGACTCCAATTTATAAAATGAAATACTAGGTACGAAGACTAGAACCGGGGAGCTTTTCCTTACCTAGAAGCCCGGCTACTACACTACCTATATTAAAAAAAAACTATTCGGAAAAAAATTAAAAGATTCGTTAAATAAGATTGGGAAACATGTTTTAGGAAATGTCATAGACTCACTTAAGATCATTACCAAAGATGCGCTTGGAGCAGATAAAGAAAGCCGCGTACCGATCAAATTGACCGCTTCCGCGGTTCTAGGGTCAATTACGTTATCGGAGCCCTAGTTGGTGCACTTTCCACATGTCTAATCCACGTAAGAGAATGTCGGCGAGTTGTTGTAAAGTTGTACGAGTACGCTATAATTTGTGATGTTTATTTGTAATTAAAAAATTAAGTTATCTGTAATCAAGCGAAGTCAAGACAGCCTATCAGGTAAGATAGGATTAAGGGGCTATTTCAAGTTTCAAAACGGCATGATAAACTCAATTTACTTGAAAATTAGTAGAATTTCAATTAAAAACCTACTAGTATATAACCCTATGTTTACAAAACGCCCACGCCATTTGTAAACTATACCAGCGCCTCTAGTGTTAATCTGAATCGCGAATAGTTTTACATTTAATACAATTTTGAAAATTGTATTTATAACACAAACAATATTCCATAATTGTTATCAATTATTGCATGAAAGTTCTTTTCCATTTGGTTTATTCTTCATTATGCCTATATGATGATCGTAATATGTATATATGAGCAGCATCTTTATCAAATTATGGTCTAAATATTGCTAACATGAGATCTATCTTAGGTCAACGCGGACAAGTGATACGTAGCAAAACAGACGTAGATACGGCACAACAAAACAATTCTTCAGTGTATTGTTGAAGTACCACTTTGTCGAACATACTAGCATTCTTTTTGAAAGCTTACATTACGGCATTCTTAATGATTTTATACAATTGCTTCATAAGCGTTTGAAAACAAAACTAACATAAATCTAGACAACGTCATTTTTTCTTCTAGGTAGCTCGGCTAAAAACTATTTTCTAAGTTGCAAAATAAAAAAGGCACTTGGACAAATACAAATTAAAAATTCCCGTTACAGTACCCCCTCCTTGTTTTCGAACTAATTCGCCCTACTTATTTTGAAAACAAACTACCCTAATTAACGGGAGTTGTCCTAGGATAATCAAAATAAAATTGAATAGAAACACACAAAAAAACTCCTAGAAACGGATTTGATATTTTCTGATATCAGTTTAGGTTCCAATGTATTATGGCCATTTCCAAAATTAACAAAGTATATAACCCAATACCGTAAAAAGAAGAATTTTTCGCACAAATTGATAACCGCCTAAGGTAAGCCGAAATATCACAATGACAGATAATGGATAGGCATCTTACCTTTTTTTGTAGCTTATAACCCATCTCAGTGTTGGTTTTAAAAGTGTCAAACATGCTTTAAAAGAAGTGATCAACTTACCTTGAGTAAAGACTTTTACCACGTGCCGATCGCCGCCATCTAATCTCACAGATTCGATTGTAAGCGCTTTTGGATCCGCCCAATAAATCCTCTGTGCTGCATGATCCAATGCAAGTCCGGTTGGCCAAAGAACTCCTGCCGTTACAAGGACATGTCTACGATTTCCATCCATGTATGCAGTTTCTATTCTCGGTAAAGGGCCCCAATCAGTCCAGAACAATAACCCTTGAGCAGGCGCGACCACAATATCTCGCGGTTGTTGCATTTCATCGTCGATGAGAGTATATGTCAAGTGGCCATCTAAGGTCGCCACTATAATACGATTTAAATCACTCACATATAATTTACGGCCAACCCAATCAACGGCCAAACCCCTCGGTTCCCGCAACGCGCTTAATACCGTTCGTATATCAGTTTCGCGAGTAACTCTTCTTCCATCATTCAATGGTAAGGTCATACTTTGAACTCGTTTATTTAGGTGGTCGCACCAAAATGCGGTCACTTGTCGTAAATCATAAAATATGTCTACAGCATCGACTTTATAGCCTGGAGCTGTAGCTAGGACAGTTTTACTATAGATTTGGTTGGCTATACTAGCTTTGTAAGGTGACATCAGGCGTAATTCTGCCTCCGCCGCTAAAACCAACTGTGCGGGGGCACCTTGCGCTTGGCATCCCCCATCCCTAGTATGATGATACCCAGCATTACATTTGCAAGTATAGTTGCCATGTTTGCGAACCACACACGTTTGCGAACAAGTACCCCAGCGGCACACCGAATTATTACAATCTTCTTCATCGCTGTTATCTTCACAGTCATTTTCGCCATCACACTGTAACTGCGCGTCAATACAATGCCCACTACGGCAACGGTATTGATGAGCGGCGCACTTGCCAAAGCTGCGACACGCGAGAGGATCTTCGTCACTATTATCACCGCACTGATCACGACCGTCGCACACCGCACTTATCGGGACGCATCGATGATTCCGGCAACGTAATCGTCCAGGAGGGCACGCCAATGTTACGCATAAAGCTAGAGACTCGTCGGATCCGTCCTCGCAATCATTTTGGCCGTCACATCTCCAGTCCTCATTTATACACAAACCATTATTGCATTTAAAACCGTTATCTGGACATGTATCACTGCAGTTGACTTCGTCAGAACCATCTGCGCAGTCGGTATCACCATCGCATTTCCATTGTCTGAAACAAATATTTATTACACAGCCAGCATTTTGCAGTTTTCATTAAGGCTCCTCTGTAGTCAATTTCAATTTAAATTTTTAACCGCCAAAGTCGTCAGTAGAGTAAGACTCCTCATTAAGCAATGAATTCAATTACGGCGTAGCTCCAAAGGAAAGGTCAAGGGTCAAGATGCAATGCATTCGTCGTTTTAAGGTAAGAAAGTGATGTATCGATCCATGAAGTAAAGCTTTTAATCCGAATTCGTATTTGGTTTGAGTATAGGAAATTTTACACATGTACCGCTTCATATTAAACGTGAACAAAAATATGTTTGGAGAAATGAGCGATAAACGGTGCGCGTTTAGAATGAGATGCAGGATGGGTTAAATAGATAAGTGCGAGCTCGACCGGACCGTATGGTCAGTTCTAATAACCGTTGTGCCGAAGAGGTAGATGGGTTTTAAACGTATGGACGTGTGGTAAAAAACATGAGAACTTGACGGCTTCACCGAGTACCGTTTCGGTTTTCCAACCGACAGCTACATGTAAAATTACGCGAAAAATTCCCATTTAACGAGAAGCCGATATTACTAGGGCGGCACCAAAAGTGCAGTTGTATCGTCGCAAACCGATTCATTTTCCACCTGCGGAGAGCGTATAACATGAATAGGGAATGCAATACCGGGATCGCGGGACCATGAAATATCGGGATTCCGCAACATTTTTGCGGGATTAATCCCGCACATAAATGGAGCGGGATCTCGCGGGATTTGCGGGAATGAGGAATTTGTCGACCAAGGTGACGACTCTGTTTACTTTGTTAATGAAACGCATAATGAAGAAGTTATTCTTTAAATAACTTTTTTCGTTAAAAATGTACTATGACTTTTGAGGCACTTTAGAAGTTCACCTTTTTGTGCTTTACAGGTGAGTTTTTTTTGAGTTTTAAGTTAGGCTGAAAGTACTTTTTTTGTTAAATATTGTGATAATTAGCGATTTATTTTAATACAGAAGTTAACCGCACAGAATTGCTTATTTGCAAATTTATTTAAAGTTTTGCGGGATCCCGCAAATACCGGGATCCCGCGGGATTAACATCTAACAATCCCGCAAATACCGGGATTGAGATTTTGCAGCGGGATTGCATTCCCTAAACATGAATTGATAACGTAATTTAGTTACCGTTACTTACCGTTTTTCTCCAGAAGCTTTTATTTATAAAAAACGAATTTTCTATTCTTTGAATTAATTATTAATCTAAAGTCCGTTCTTATAAGAACGTCAGATTGTTTTTTGCCATATGGCAGATCGACTACAGAGGAGCTGTAAGAAGGTATGAATACCAACTTTAAGTAAAAGAAAGCAAGAAGTCTCATACAAACGTACTTACAGGAATATACAAAATTGTGGATGAGTACATTGGAATTCATTATTCTTGCATTTCGAATGACACTTCATTTCATCCGACTTATCATCACACTGATACTCTCCATCGCATTGGAAACTGCCATGAATACAACGCCCGTCTTCACAACGAAACTCGGACTCCGAGCAATTACGTGGCAAGCATCCCAATTCATCTGATCCGTCACCACAGTCATTGTCATAATCGCAATGCCAGCGTCCGGGAATACACTTATTATTGGCACACTTAAAGTAAGTGGGCTCGCATGCGTGGTATTCAGGTTGACTGCAAGTAGGAGGTTCGTCTTCACCATCTGAACAATCTGGATCACCATCACATTGCCAAGACATTGGAATACAGCGACCGGAACTGCACCTAAAGTGATCAAGTGGACAGGAACGTTTACCGCAATCTTGCAGTTCATCGGATTCGTCTCCACAGTCGTTGTCGTTGTCACAAACCCACACTGTTGGTATACACTTGTCGTTGTTACACTTGTACTGATTTGGTGGGCATGTAGCAGGAGGGCATTTAAATTCATCCTCGCCCAACGGACAATCCTTGTTTCGATCACATCTCTGACTCGAAGGGATACATCTGGCGGTCACAGATTCATTTCCGGGACAGCGAAATTGGTTGTTTAAACAAGTATAATGTTGGCAATCCATTTCATCTGAATTATCAGAGCAATCGTTGTGTCCATTGCACAGTTCTGATGGATGAATACAGTGGCCATTTTTACACTGAAACTGTCCAGGTTTGCACTTGAACGGCGGACAATCTTCTGGTTCATCGCTACCATCTCCACAGTCATTCTGCGTGTCGCACTTCCACCAAAATGGTATACATTTATAAGTCGATTTACACTCAAAGTGTGCGGAAGAACAATTAGAAATACAGCCACGGCCATCTGTTCCTAGTATATAATTTTCTGGACACGCACACGTGTAGAATGGAGGTTCAGGATTTAATAAGCATAAAGCAGAGCAGTTTGCATTTTCGCAGGGATTTGCTTTCTCGGGTTGTCGAAACGGATGGATAAGTTTAATGTCCATAGGTCGATGCACTGTGAAGAATAACGACGAGCATTGATCGCCGTGGTATTTATGACAACGTTCGATAGACTTCGTCTCCCAGTCGGTCCAATACACAAAATCTTCCCAAATTGACAACGCAAAAACATGATGAAGTTGTACCTGAGGCGACTTCGAACGACTAGCTACAATTCTTATATTATTCCCATCCAAATCGGATACTGCAATGTAATCTTCCCTGGCATCGGCCCAAAACAATTCGTTGGTGTCGTACGCGACACTTAGAGCATTTGGCCAACCTAAGCTCGAATTGATAATCACTTGTTGATTGGAGCCATCTAAACCGGCCTTTCCAATATGAACTTGTGTACCCCAATCGCTCCAGTATAAGTAACCACGTAGAGGATCAACCGCGACTGCCCTAGGCTCATCTAGTCCGCCATTAATTAAAATTTTCCGATATTTTCCATCCAGGGAAGATACTTCTAAAGTATCCAAGCCCTATAACAAGAAAGTAATTTTTGTGCCGTAATTTATGTGGATGTTTAAAGATAATATGTGGAAATGTAATCCCCAAATCTGTTGTAGGTACACTACCTAGCTAACAGGTGATGACTGATGACTATTGTTACTTGCAGAGCGCGTTGTGTTAAAAGGACGCTTATCTTTTGCCTTATGTTATTAATGTGGTTGACAAGTTACCTAGCGTTAAATGTTTGAGTGTCTGTTTAGTAGATTCTGTTTCAAAGGATAACACTCTTTCATGCAATGGCGATTTCGCTAATATGTAGGTATTATGCGAAAAAAACGACCCCGAATTATGTAATGAATTAATAGTTTCATACATACAAATCGGCGAGTTATTGTTCAAATTTTTGTGCAAAAGGTTTCTTTTATTACAGACTTCCATTGTCGCACATTTATTAGATCAGTATAGTAGTCTGCTTCCCTAATCTGGATATGGGTGCTAGTTGTTTCATTATTATTAAATTTTTCATTCGATTTTGGATATCAGATTATCAGCTACGCTCCCGCCATTGTTTTGTTTGCCGTTAATTAAAAATCAAGATTATTTTGTATTGATGTACCTGTGGGTGCCTTTATTATTTTACGAAGTGCTCATTTTATGTACCTATGCACAAAAAAAAGAGATATCAAGTTTGTACTGTCCTGTATGATATAACCCTTTATTCCGCGGAGAAACCACCCAATGTACTTTCCGATTCTTTGTTTCTGCGGTCTACTTAACTCCAGTTTTTCTTGTCTAAATGTACCTGTAGACCTGTTTCAATTTGTCACTGTATTCAATTGATCACTCTTGCTCTTCTAACTGCATTTGAGAAGAATCTATTGCGCTACTATGTCAAGGTAAGGATTCTACACTGCGCCTACAATATTTATAACCCTATATAAAAATGTACAATGTGTGCAATAAAACATTTAATGTTGACTCTTGATTGTTACTGAATAATGCGTGCCAAATTACGCTTCAAATGCGACCTTTTCTGATTTTACTCCACGTAAAAAGGTCACCCCCCCACCCCCTGTGGGCTGCCGGCTTCCGGTACATGAAATATCGACTGCAAAACGAACTGCATCTACCATCCACACAACGATTCATCAATTTAAGCCTATAGAAAATTTCGGAAATATATGTATAATCAGGTACATACGCGTTTCTTATAATATTTTTAACGCATCTTTGAAAAAATACGCCATTATATTCGTTATGGTTGGGTGGCTGGCTGTGCGGATGAGATCTCCGCAATTACAATAGCTAGAGACTTCCAATTTTCACTAGAGCTTTAATCAAGGGAAATAAAATAAAATCATACCCACTCTCTACGCGAATACATTACTGATTTAAATACTATTGACATTTCCTTCGTATATGTCGACAGCAACTTTTCATATTCTTTGTGATAGGATTTACTTGATTTTGTATGTAGCGACTTTTCTTCTGCTTCTGCAACAAACCACTGAATTGACAGTCTATTATTTCAACCAAATTAATTTCATTTTTAAAGACAGCGATTTTAATAAGCAAACTTTAAGTGACATTTCCATGGCATCATGAAATTTCGAATAAGCCGCTACCTACAAAATCCAGTAAATTATATCACAAAGAATATGAAAAGTTGTTGTCGACATACGAAGGAAATGTCAACAGTATTTAAATCTTTAATCCATTGATGATTCATTTAAAACTCAAACATTTTTAAAATCAGAAAAAATTCTCTATCAAATGACACAAAAAGTAAAAATTACTTCCATAAGAAAAAACAAAGTTAATGATGGTTGACTTGAGACGAAACGTCAAACTTAAAATTTAAAGTAGCATCTTATAGAGGGAAAAAAGTGGCTAAAATAATGTATCATTTATTACGAAATACCTTGCTAATTGCAGTAAAAATAAAAACGATTTTGCAAAATTTCGTTTTTTTCCGGATATCTCCGAAAGTAGTCTAAATTTATTAAGTTTAAAAACTGCATTTTGTTGAGCATCAAAATACGCAACTTTGCCAAATTTAAATACCTGCCTATCTCTTACAGTTCTCAAGATTCCCATGGTGGCCCTCGAATTTGAATCGGCTTCTATGCTGATGCTATGATCTAAGCCTCCCTTTACTAAAGCGCAGGTGGTCAAAATATATTTCTTAATCAATCATTACAAATTTGCAAAATTATGAAATATAAAGATCACGTGGAAACTGTTACTCCCAGATTTCCTGGTCGCCAAGTCCCGATATGCCCTCAACATTACCCGGGATACTTAGGAGTGCCAAGGGGTGCAGTAGGGTGAAAAATTAACCATGCAGAAAAATTGCTCGGAAATCGTTAGACGGTTCTGTTCGCGGTCGCCGAGTTCAGATATGCGCCTGAAATTGCTCGAGGATGCGCAGGGGTGGCGCTACAGGGATCCCGGGCGGTACAGTGAGGTGAAAAATTAACTTTACCGAGAAATAGCTCGGAAATCTTTACTTGAAGGTTTTCGCGGTCGTCGAGTCCATATCTGCCGTTTAAATTGCCTGGGAATGCTCAAGGGCGGCGCTACGGCGATGCAGTGGTGTGAAAAATGAACTGCAGAGAAATCGCTTGGCAATTGTCACTCTGAGCATCGATTCCCGAAGTTAGTTGATATGCTCTGTGATGTGCCATGACGTTATGATCGTATACGATAGGGATAACTGATAAGTTCAAGTTTAGCTGCATTCCCGAATCGTGGACAAACTTTATGAGATAGCCAATCACAGACAAGAGTTGAACTGTCATTTGTCAGTTTTGTATTTTCTTTTGTTTTTGCATTATGGATACTAAAATAAGAAATAGGGCAATGACTGACGCCCAGAATTCCCAGAAACAATTGTTAAAAGAGTTTGTATGACTGCATAAAAATTTAAGTACGAGCAAATTCAGTGATGATGATTTTAATTCAAAGATGCCCAATGATGATTTTAATTCAAAGATGCCCAACGTCTTTGGAAGGACGTTATTAATAACCAGAAAATCCTCGAACAATTCCATGTTTTATTTCACAGAAAATATGTGAATGTATAGGTTAGGGCACTGAATAACCCAAGCAAAACAGCTGCAAGATCCGTCCTGTAGCAGCAACTGCGTTGCGTTCAAACAACTTATCGGTCGCGGTGGTAAGTTCAAGAATGCAGTCAAATTCACGTTCCCATCAAGATCAGTTGATGTGAACAAAGCACATCTTCGGGAATCGCTGCCCTGCTGTTTTTGTGTGTATTGTATCTCAATTGACATTTATTACTCAAAAGTCACCCCCGCCTCCCAATATCACCACTTTGTAGCGTCGCTGCTGAGCAACCTCAGCCAAAGGGCAGATATGGATTCTGCTCCACCAAAAACTCCCAAGAAAATCAATGCATACGTCTGATTTGGATGAATACCAAAAGTGAATTAAGTAATCCCTCTCACAAACAAGATCAAACTGGCAAAACTAGACTTACCTTGTCACACCAGTACAGGTTGTGTGCAATCCAATCTACCGCTAGCCCATCAGGATTTTGTAATGTAGCAGAATGTAAATCCTCAACAATGCTATTGACAGTATTATTACATAGTCGTTTTATAGAACTGCCAAATGCTGTTACATCAGACCAAAAAATGCACTGGGACTTCCATTCATAATCCAATGCGACAGCATTTGTAAGATTGTGCGCCACCAAGGTAGAATGACCATCCAAATCCACCTCTCGTATGTAGTATCTGTTCGCCAGTATTAACTTTGCAGGGATTGTCGAATTGGCGCGACATGATTTTCGGTCCGAATGTAAAACATAACCATCCACACAGGAGCAATGAAACGATCCTCTGGTATTACGACACTTTTGACTACACGGATAGCTGTCACATTCATTTATATCTTCGCAAAGGTGATTATCTTTCGTACTTAATTTAAAACCATCATTACATCTGCATTCGTATCCTACAGGTTTGTCTACACATTTGTGGGCACATGGAGGTTTAGCTGAAGAGCATTCGTTGATATCTAAAAAAGAATCAACTAAGCTCCTCCTCTTCCTTCGATTAAATTATTTCACTTACTGCACTTATTTTCGTCGCTGAAGTCACCGCAATTATCTTCGCCATTGCAAAGAAGACTGTCATTAAGGCATACACCATTATTGCACGTAAACCAACCGTCACCAGTGCAATAACTCGTGTTATCTTTACAAACTTTGCTTTCATCTGAACCATCGCCACAATCATCATGGCCATCACATTTCATCATTTCCATAACACATTTTCCATTGTCACATCGAAATTCCCCGTCGAGACAATGGGGTTGACATAGAGGGGGTTCGTCACTTTTATCCGCACAATCAAAATCGCCATCGCAATAGAAAAGAGTCGAAATACAAGTACGATCTGCACACTGAAAATAGTCGGATAAACACGATGAAGCCTTGCATCCTTGTTCTTCGTGTTCATCGGCCATATCTTGACAATCCGCTTCTCCGTCACAGACCCAACCCCATGGTATACATCGCCCGGTACTGTTGCACAGGTATTCCCAGGTGCCGCATTCACGCAGACGGCAATGTTCGGTCTCATCAGTCTGATCCGCACAATCCGGTTGCCCGTCACATTGCCACGAGATTGGAATACATTCTCCTGTCGTGCATCTGAACTGATCAGAACGGCATTGCTCTACAAATAAAAAATTGTATCTACTCTCATGAATAAAAAGGTAATGTACTTACTGCAATCAAGTTCATCAGAACCGTCCGGACAATCAGGTTGGCCATTGCAGTGCAACAAACTGGAAATGCAGCTCCCATCACTCTTACACATAAGTTCATTTACTCTACATCTTCCTTCTATATTATACATTTGCATAGGGTTAAAAGAAATGGACGACAGAAATACTTACTGCAATTTCGTTCATCAGAACTGACACCGTCCTTGTTGCCATCCTTACAATCGTTGCGTCCATCGCAGCGTGCTTCTAATTTAATACAGTTGCCATTCAAGCATTGGAATTCGTTAAAATTGCACTTATTCAATTCTGTACTCCGGCAATTCTGTTCATCTGATTTATCCCAGCAATCGTTCTCTCCGTCACAAAACCATTCCCTATGCACGCATGCTGTGGTATTGGGACAGTTTACAAAGTTCATGTCGCGCATTTCGCGACTACAATTACGAATCTCTGCAAGGAAATGTTTGTAGAGACAATCGAAAATGCCAACATCAGCCTACAATTAAATATCGATATATTTGTGAGTTTATAAGTTCTGATAAGTCTAATAGCTATTCATCTTATTTAAAAAAGTGTCTTTCATTTGATTTTGTCTGTTTCCCACATTGAACTATATACTCTGTAACTGGAACGGCATCGAGCGCCAAAATCGCGTGCCGCAATGATTTTAGGCAACCAGCATAACGTAGGTATTCTCATCCTTGTCTGGCACGTTGTTTTGTATTGCATATGCAGGACCAATCACACGTATTTGGTTAAAAATACAGATAAGTACATAAACTGGGAGGTTGGGGCCTTAGAAAGGTAAAGATAAATGCTTGTCGAAGCTTTTATAAGTGCCAATATCTATTTGTTAATGGAATATCTTAAAATATATACTTAATAATGTGGTAAACTGCGCCATTTCTCACTCACACACTCACATACTTGATTCTTGAAGTTACAAAAGTATAATGTCAATAATGTCATTCATGGTGGCTCGACGCATTCCATTTGCTTATTAACGTAAAATAAAGTTAGAAACATTGGTTGTGTTCGTTTGTAACGTACCCTTTACATATATTAGCAAGGAGGTAGGTACCTAATATATTACAATTGGCGTCGAGGTAAACGTAAATTTAAAAAAGCGCTTTTTTTTTAGAATAAAATGAATTTAAGAATCATGGTTACTCTAAGAGCAAAAATTCAATTTACTCGTAGTGGTCACCGCGCATTTCCATTAGATGGAAACGAATTGACACGAATGTCTTATGCTGGTCTTATGGAACCTTTGTTTCTCGTACGAGACTGGAATTTGTCCAACAGTCCGATGGATCCTTTGTTTTCGGAACTATACCTTGACACATCCAACGTAACTATCAAACACACGAGTTGTAAGTGTTGGTGGTGCCATCGACAGTATCGAAGAATTCAGGACAAATACCCATTGGAACATCCACAGTGAGCGGTTTGAGTTATGCATAAGTGCAAATTTCGTTGATGAGCAGCGAAAGGTTTCTGGCGCATCTAACCACGGTAATTGGACCAGAGGGTTTATAAGGCATTGCGCTACTTATATAACCCAGTTTTGCCCAAGATGAACCGTACGCCGAGTTATGTGAGGGCAGAATTACACCTTCTACAAAAGGTCTCCCATATTTTCCGGAAGTCAATCACCTTTATAACTTGGTCCCAGAAAAACCATTGTATATACATTGGAAAAACTCAAGACCTGCAAATCCTTCGGAATATTTCGTAAGGAAATGAACAAAGTTTTTCATATATAACTGCTTCTACACCATTAAAGCATATGTGGATGGATATGGATGTAGAAAATGCAAACCATGATATTTTCTAATTTAACTTTTGTGATATAAATATGTACCTGTGTGCTATGTATGCTCTTATATTTTATCTTTACTCTTTGACGCCACCTAATGTACGTTCATTGTAGGCCGAAGGAATCGGTAATAAATAAAAAAATCAATCCTTAAAGGTATTTTTCGCCCCATTAGTGAGCAGTATCAATAATAACATTGAGTGAAAAATTAAATAAGGAACTTCATATTCAAATTAGTAAGTCAAAACGGCTTTATAGGTTTTGGCGGCGTTAACGCTTTTCTTCACATTATACTCTCTGGCGAGTGGAATATCCTATTGAATTAGTATTAAAGAGTGCGAAATAAGAATTATCATTCATAAGGACAGTATAAATGAGTGTGAGGTACTTTAGTAAAGAAATCTGAGCGGTGCAAATCCCGTCATGCGCAAAAATAATGAATGCGCGCGTCGAGGTTGGAAAATGTTATCAAAACGTACGCATGAAATTGAATATTTGAATTTTTATTATAAAAATGATTGCACGTATATGCAACACAGTTCATGACCATTCTTGCAAATCTCTTAATAACTTATTTTAGACAAAAATAAGCAAAATGTAAGACGTAGTATAAACCATCCCATAAGCCCACATGAGTGGAACAAGGTAAGGGATACCTACCTCTACCCATCTCTCTCTCACAAAAATTCGCCACGGCCCGTGGCAATGGCTGATTTATGGGCGATGCCGTTCCAGTTACAGAGTATATAGTTCAATGGTTTCCCATTATCGCTTACATAACTCACGAATCAACGTGCACGGACTATCGTTATGACAACAGCTAGTTTAAATGTGAGACTGTGGAAATTCCATAGGAACTAAGGAGCTGTTATTTTTTCACAGGAGACCTTTTCGCATGACCCAAGCTATACTAGCTGTCACTTAAGCACGCTCTGCTGTATAAGTGTATGCTTATTGTAAAATCGGAACTACAACTGGAAGTCGGTACCTACACCTAAATTAAATGTAGGCATTCCACAAATACTAGGATTTTGAAATTTTCTCAACTATCACAAAACATGAACACAAATATTAAAAAATGTTTCTACACTATACATGTATAGGTAAATACACTATACACTATTAATGTACAGGGTGTAAATCGAAAAGTGGAACATAGGCGTTTAACATGAGAAATTACTTTTTCTTTGCGCAAACGTTTCCTAATTATTTTACGCAAAAATACTTCAAATAAAAGTTATAGAGATATAAATTCTGCATCTAAATCATGTGAAACAATTATTCTACCACTTCTTGTACGCGAAAAAATTAATTATAGATTCTGTTTTCAGGAGTTTTTAGTCTAAGTAGCCATGGACTATGATAAAAGAAAAACATAGTCCATGGCTACTTAGACTAAAAACTCGTGAAAACAGAATCTTTATAATTAATTTTTTCGCGTACAAGAAGAGGTAGAATAATCGAGTTACACCCTGTACCTACCTAAATTCCGACTAAAGGTGGGTTCATAGCTCTCCGTTCGTCCGTTGCGTTGATCCGACCAACGGATAGTGAAATTTGTTAAGGTTCATAGCAATCCGTCCATATCGTACGTTATGAGACCCCATATGAGAGCCCATCATATGCAATCGGTGGCCAAGTACTAGCACATGTGCATGTTAAATAAATCGCACAAGAAGTTTGCTCCTAGGCGCGATGGTCCATACATTTTTAAATTGTACAAGACTATAACTTTACCCCGTGAACACTAATAGGAACAAAATCAATAGCTAGAAATGTATTTAAATTGAACAACCAAACAAATCGTTCAAAAACTGTTTTTCACTTTATCCAAATAGTCAATTGTATTTAGTTGTTTGCTAATGTTCAAATGTATACATTTATGATTTTCCTCAGATATAGACATATGTACATACCACATCCCATCTCATCACTGACATCTCTACAGTCGGGATCCCGGTCGCAGCGGAAATTCCGCGGTATACACTCACCGCTGGTGCATCGAAAATGATTCTTATCCGAACATGAACAATTCAGTTCATCAGTGAAATCTCCGCAATCATCAACACCGTTGCAAGTTAAATTGGATAGAACACATCGTTTGTTTAGGCATTGGAACCAAGCAAGAGGACAACTTCGATGTCCGCAATACCCTGGTTCTTCGTCTGAACCGTCAGAGCAATGCACAATTCCATCGCATGTTACCTGAAAAGGTACACAGCCGCCATCAGAACAACGAAACGATTCATCTGTGCACGACGATAATTTACTGAAACATCGTCTGCCATCGTCGGCGAGAATTCGTCCCTCCAAGCAAGCGCACTGCACTGTAGCTTCGGGTGTGAGACTACAAATTTCTTCACATCCACCATTTAATGATAGACAGGGGTTGGAAAAGCAGTCGTCTGTATTATTGGCAACAGCAATAATTCCCATTGGTTTAGAAATATCTTGCCTCAGCCACACCACATTTTGTCCCGTTAGTTTGTCGACTCGCAAAACCGCATGTAACACCCAGTCAGTCCAAAATATAAAATCACCATAAACTGCTAATGCAAAAGGGTGTTGGGGGGTTAACTTCGCCAACACCACTCGACCACTACCATCATACTCGCAACGTTCTATCTTATCCAATCTCGCATCCCCCCAATATATTTTATGCGCTTGATGGTCCAAGGTCATCGCATTCGGCATGCGTATCTCAGTGTTGATTATCACCTCGTGTCCATAGCCGGTTAAAAATGCGCGTTCAATGCTCGGTTGATGAGAATTCCAATTGCTCCAAAAAACTTGACCCCCGCAACTGTCAACTGCAATGCCGCGTGGTTTGTCTTGCGGCCGAAGTTTAACTATAGCCTCCACCTCGGATGCGTTACTTCCGTAATTGGTCAAATTAATACGGTTGATACTGGCATCATTATTGCACGTCCAATACAACGCCTTATACAACTGCTCAAACGCCAGACCTTCCACTGACCCTTGCCCTGAAAGACTTCTACGTTAAACTTTTACCGAATGTGCCTGCAGCATAACTTTATACTTGCAACTAAAACTGCATGTCCAGATCCGTTAAAGTGGACCGTATTGATTGAACCGCGTTGTATGTCGGAATAATACAGGCGGCGCTGGTTGTAGTCGAAAGTGAGCCCGATCGCATTTCGCATGAAACTTTCGTTTTTTATACTCGGATAGGGCGAGTTGTGTATGGTGGCGTTGGTCATATGGATTGAGTCTATGCTAACAACTCGTGAATACATTATGAAGCTGTCGTAATCTGCAAAATTATTTCAAATTGTAAATGTAATCCTATAAAAAGAAAGGTAACGAGTTGGGAATTTGCATTTTACCGAATACTGGAAAGACTCCTTTCTGGAGCATTCAAGTGGGAATTTCAGTGAATATCAAGAATCTGCCGAACTTGTTTCTTGGGTAATATTGAAATTGAATTGAAAAGTAAAAACAAAGAGTGCAGTTGAAGCAAGAAGGAAGATGGCTGGATAGGATACCAGACCTGTAGTAAATGGGCCGATGATACATAGGGAGGTGTAGAAAAACAACTGACATTTGCGCCAACCTGTATACTTTCTGGTTTTTGGTTAAACGAGGAAACTCTTCTTACTATCCATGTACGATAGAAAAAAGGTACAAATTTACCGTTTTAGATATTTTGACGTAAGTATATAGTAACAAATAAGAAATGTCTTACCTTTACAGGTTTTGTCATCATTGGCAAGAATTCCATGCGGACAGGCGCATACAGGATCCGTACCATTAAATAGACACAACTGCTGACAACCCCCATTATTAAAAGCGCATGGGTTTGTACCAACTTGCTTTAACTTGGAGAATATTTGAATGTCTCTCAACGAGTCCCCTCCTTGTCTTAACAATGTCTCATAGTCAGACAAATTGTTTAAGGGCGCCACCTTTATGCTGCCACGGTCGTGTGTACTAAAACAATAAGTGAAATCGTACACCTGAAATTATGCGTTTCTTACCTACCTATCAAGCCAATATATCGAATTGTTAAATATTGTTAGAGCCACTGGATTTTCGAGGGACTGATTGAGGAGAACCACATGGTCAGAACCATCATAGTTTATTCTTTCGATACTATTAGCTTCTGAATCGGTCCAATAGATTTGTCGATTCTCTAAATCGAGCCCAAGATCAGATATTACCAGAGACTGATTGTAAAGTAATCTTCTATTTGAACCGTCCAAACCGGATTTTTCGATGTGAGAGGCCCCACCCCACACCAATACGCCTGCGATCGGATCAATAACTAATGATGCCAATTTCCCAATGTTTTCTGATACTACAACGTAGCGTGCCGAGCCGTTCAGACGTGACACTTCGATGACGTCCCTTTTTGGATCACACCAATAAATATTTTTAGCTACCCAATCCACTGCAAGTCCGTTTAGCCAGTCCACCGGCACGCTTTCTCGCCCCTCGATTTGTTCAACCACCACCTTGCGGTGAGTACTGTCAGTTTTAATACTGGTAATAATGCCGTGATCGCTGTCAGTCCATAATATTAACTCTTGATCGGCAACGAAATCAATTGCGCTTGCCATCGATACACGCGATATCGGTCCTAAAACTCTCGTGGAGTTATCACCATCCAAAGAGAGACCGCGAATTTCCCACGTTAAAGAATAGATTAAGTAAGTTGGCACACTGTTACAAAGTGCAGGATTGTCTGGATCACTGACATAGCCAGATGCACATTGACAAGTGTAACTCGTTTCGTTTACCGCTAAGCACAAGTGCGCGCATCCACCTTTGTTTATCCCACAAGGATGATTCCCTTTCTGTAGATCGGGATCGTAAATTCGTAAGGCCAAAACTGATCCGGTACCGTTTCGTAAAATAACATCACCGTTACCGGAGGACTTGTTCGCCTTATGTATCGACTGATCATCGTCATCTGCATAATAGACATAATCCTGGTACACGACAGCCGCGGCTATCGATACTTGCGCAGGTAATTGTAGTTTAGAAACATCGCCACCTTCGAGGCTTGCGTAATAAACTTCATAGTCACTTACCCAATATAAACGGTTCGTGGGTAAATCAATGCTTAAACTTTTTGAATTCGTTGACAGATTGGCGACAATAACAGTTCGATCGCTAGCGTCCATTGCGCTGGTTTCAATACTAGCGTTACCTTCAAAAACGGCAATCCAATAAAGTTTACCTCGCGCGGGATCGGCGACCAAACTAATAATCTCAACGTCCTCAACAATCGCGGTACAATATTCGCCGTCTAAATTGCACGCCGATATACCCGCAGGCGACCCGATAAAAATATTATTCGATAACCAATCGACGGCTAATCCCGACGGTCTTTGTATTCCGGTGTCGATCAGTGTCTCTGTAGGTCCAGTGGTTAAACCTGAACGTTTCACCTCGCTCACTTGCGAATCTGACCAATATAAGGTATTATTTTTTCCCAAAAATTCTAATTGACTTGGATTTAGTACCTGTGGTGAGCTAATCGTGGGAATGGTGTGATAGTATGGTTGTACGAGATCGACCCCGCGAATTTCGTTTGAACGCGCAATCAGCAGCACTCGTTCGTTGACTGTAAATTAAAGGCTTTTATAATTGCCATATAACATTTACCACAATGAGAAAGATGAGAATTTGACTTGCATAGCATATTGATAACACAAATGCAGATGTAAGATTAACTCTTATATAACGTTTCAAACATATTGTGTAAATAACGTCATGTCGACGTGATTTAGGTCTAAACACTGAAAATAATGACGGGACACCCTGTATATGTGAAACATTTTAATTTATTAAAGTAAATCGGGGGATTATTCGCGAATAAGCACAGAATTGGTTTATTTCATTTGAGTTTGTGGTATTTTTCCTTTTAGAATATTTGAATCTGTTTACAGGTGGACAACGTTGCGCGCATGATTCGAAGCTGGCGTTATCAAGGCTTATTGTAATTGGTGCAGTATTTCTAAATACTAGAAGAAGGGGGTTTTGTTTGGTGGAGGTGGCGTTTCGTTAAATACTGCAGACAACAAAAAAAACGAGACTGGTTCGCGACGGTTGGAAAGGAGTGTATGGCTCTTTACGTTATTTTTCGAACAGTTCAGCCAATTTGATTGATTGAGTGAGATTCTGTGAGAAGTTTAAAGCGGGTTCCATTTTTTGAAAAAAGTTAGTCAAGTTGATGGCCATTTGTCAAGTTTCTATTTTGATTAAAGTTAAAAGTTTAAACCCTTCATACAACCAGCAAAAATTTTTGAGATCGTCTTCAACATGCCAGTTCGTTTATCATCAAGTTTGTGTTAAAGAAAAATGAAGTTCTTAAGCTGTCTGCGTTTTTGTTAAGTGCGTCAGTTTATCGCAAACTTGTTCACGACCAGATTTTAGGTTTTTAGAAGAGAAAAAAACTTTAAGATTTTCTTATTTTTAATTAATCGACCGTCTGCGTACCATGTAAAAACAAGCTTTGTAAGCTTCCCTTTATTTCAGGAATGTTGTCTTTCTTTTCATTTAATGTGTTTCGGAATAAATGTTTGTCATGGTGAATCAACTAATTGTGTGTTTATTCGAATCCATTGTACGACCCGCACTATCTTTATGTATATATATATATGTATATATATTTCTCTTCGCGTCCAAATTTTACGTCAATAAATAAATGTAGTATAATAGTCAAATTTCCACCTTTTTGATCATGATCTATTGTTACTTACCAACACATGTCCGATTATCGACATCTAATTTCATAACATGGGGACAATCACAACGGTATGTTTTATTTGTGTGCAACAAACAGAGATGGGAACATCCACCGTTATTTTCCCCGCATGGATTGGAACCATCGTGAGGTTGTCGACTGGCATGTAAAATCTGAATGTCGAACGGCTGCGTCAATGTACGCTGTATCACTGAAACATCACCACCAGTCCACTTGTTGGCACGCACCACACTGTTAGTCCGCCAATCAGTCCAGTATATGTAATTTTCGTACAGGGTGATAGCAAAAGGATGGGAAAGCATCTCGTGATTACGCATGATTTCGTGGTGATCAGTACCATCATATTTGGCTGCATGAATCGAGTCCGATCGAGCATCAATCCAGTAAATACGTCGAGCATCATAATCCAGTGTTATCCCATTGGGCCAAGCGCCATCTGTTACATGATCAACACGTACAACGACAGTTCTATCTAGCCCTGCCAGTGAGCATCTTTCGATCCGTGGTGCCATGTTATCCCAATCAGACCAAAACAGTAAACCGTCTCTTGGATCTAACGCTATTGCTCTGGGACTCTCCATATCGCCAGCAACTAAGGTTCGACGAAAGCTTCCATTTAAACGGGCGACTTCGATTTGGTCCAGATTACTTTCAACCCAATACAAATTTTTGCCTATCCAATCAACAGCTAATCCTTCAGCCGTCGATAATCCAGTTTGTACGACTACTTCAATGTTACTTAATGAACCGCCCACCACTGTACCAGAATAAATCTTGTCGTCAATTACGTCAGTCCAAAATACCTACAAAAAAACCTTTTGAATAAGAGTTTGCAAGCATCGAATCTTTTACCATGTCAGCATCTTCAGAATGATAGAAATCTAGCGCAATTGTATTTTTTAAACTAGAAATCAGGGCTTTGGCATTGTAGTTGTTCAAGTTAACACCTCTTAGTTCGTGTCTGTTACTAAATATCACCAGGGGAATTCCGGGATCGTCGCTTTTACAAGTAAACCCATCATTCGTAAGAGTATAACCAGGAAGACAAGAGCACTTATGACGCGTACGAATCGGAGTACAAATCTGAGAACAGGTGCCCCAATCCTCGCAAGGATGCGCTTCGAGGCAACGCATTTGATCTTGTTGCAAATGTAAAGGCGGAGGGCACGAGCAAACCAGCCCCTCGGGTGCATTATGACATGTATGAGAACACACCAGGCTATGTTCGCACAACATTTCGACACACCTCAATCCCTCATCACTTCCATCCTGACAGTCTTCGTGATTGTTACACAATTGATCGGCGGTGATGCAGACAGTATTGTTATCGCACATACGTGAAGGATGTTCACACTCTAAACCGTAGGTTGTCACTGAATTAAACGTAGTATTTTTTATGGATGTAATTGAACAGCCCTGCTCGTCAGATCCGTCGATGCAATCTAACCTTCCATCACAAGCGAATTGCTAAAATTAAAATTCTAGTAAATAAGATTAAATGTAAAGCTTTATGTAGGTAGTAAGACAGGTTACAGATCAACTTGAAATTGAAGTAATAAGAATGCTTGTGTTATAAGGTTCAACTAGATAAATGAATGTCTCTGGTGAAACATACCCTCCTTTCGATTTGAAATACATTATGGGGTTTTGGCGTTTGAATTTGAGTCCCACTAAAAATATACATATCTTTATTAAATTTATGATCACCATCTTCTCCATTTCCATATATTCAATTCTGTTGTGAACAATCTAAATGCCAATTAATGTTACGCCACTGTGTTGTTACCAGTGAGTACGTAAGGGGGCGTTGAAGGGCTTGCTAAAGAGGTCAGAAAAAGAACGTTTTAGTTTTCATGTAAAAATACAGTTTTCCGTTTACTTTAATAAATAATATAATAATACCGTTGTTATACTTGAAAAAGGCCAACTCTGCCACAGGTTATGGGCCCAGCACGCTTCCACTGCACCACTCTGTCATGTCACTTGATATACTTACAGCGTGTTCATTCGAAAACTTCCCACCACGGATTCATCGATAGCCACTGATTAAAGTAAAAAACGCAGAGGCACGTCAAAAGATTTGTCAAGGGGACAACTTTTTAACTAAAAACTACTTCACCCTCTGCCACCCAGGGTCATTCCCTTAAAAATTTTAAATGACAAGTGGTATCGATCAGTAATAGCTTATTTGAAAGGTCTTTCAAAGTCCTTTATTTTGAGGTTTGATTTTTTTAAATCGGTCGATTCGTTTTCGAGAAAATTAGAAAAATCTTTTTTAATTGACTTATCTTAAAGTAGTTAGACCGCCTAGGTAAAAGTAACAAGAAGTTGGTGAAAATTTGGTCACTTATTCTCTGAGAGACGCACTTTCTAATGGTCAAAAGAAAAAAGTGTTCCTATGTGCCGTTTCTGAGATATTTGACAGTAAAAACAGGGTATTTTAACATGGGCTCTTATGAACAGACTCAGTTTTTCTGAGCTAGCGAAGGTTTTTGTATCAAGACTTAAATGAGATGGGTCTCATTAGAAGCGAAATTTTGTGACGAATCTAAATATGCACGGAAAAGTACATGTTCATGATGAAATAAGGAAGATATTTACCGCCGGAGCGGCGTCTGCCCTGACGCGGCGGCACGCTATGCAGCACGCGTTTAAATCTGATGACTTTTCCACTAGGTCTAGTATATAGCTGAGTTAGGACAATCTTTCCCTTCTTCTGCTGAGCACTTTTCTTCACAAAAGGCATGGTGTCTTTCAGAAAGAACATCAAAACCAGCGATATTTATAAAGGCCTGCACACGTCTTGTTGACACACTGATCGGATCGGGATCAAGATAGCGGCTGGGGATCTCTGGCGCCAACATCGAAAAACCAAATCCACTACACCGACTTCACGTAAAACGCCAAATTATTTAGTTTCCCGGCTTTTACATACGTCTCGCATACGTTTTGATTAAAAACAAATATATTCGTTTAGGATTTACCGCTTACACTGTGAATATTTAGTCGCGGTGTGTCGTCAACATTTAGTGTGCAAAGGTTTGAAACAGGGTCGAAAAGTAGGGAGACTAGTCAAGTTGACTACTGTATATACCCTTTTAAAAATCATGTAAGACGTTTGCATTGTGCTGAGGTACAAAATACCACTCATACCGTATTTCTAATTATGTTTCCTTCTTAACATCATTTTTTTGGGGACGTTTATCGTAAGTAATAGATAGGCCGAGTACATCACTTGACTTCAGCCGAACGCGCTCTAACTACTTTAATTTGTTCAGATAGAATACAAATATCACTTATTTGTTGCTATGGAAAAGAAAGAATTTAATTTGCTGTCAGTTGCCTTTGTGACAAATCTTTCTCAAAATCCATTCCTTCATATTAACATGTTTAGAGATCTGCTTTGGCCTTAAATATATATTGCGAATGATTTTTCGAATTATGAAATTTTGTTCTGTATAGATACTTAAATAAAAAGAATGCCTTTCTCAAAATTTGGGTATGAACAAACTAATCTGCATCAATTGTAAGAGTTGATCTCTAACCCAACAATCACCATAAACCATTTACCCATCGCCATATACTTACTTTAGGTATACACTCAAGGCTTTTGCATTTAAATTCAAACGGCTCACAAACATGAAAGTTCTTCTCTTCACAGTCAAATTCATCAGATCCATCCCCACAATCCATTTTTTTATCACATCGCAAGCTGACGGGCAAACAAGCCTTACTAGCTGGACAGAAAAACTCAGTTACAGGGTTGCAAATAGCACAACCCATTTCGTCTGACCCATCTTTACAATCGTCAATTCCATTACAATACATATTGATAGAAATGCACCGTGAATTATTGCACTTAAATTCCATAATACTACACCCGGCGACCGCTAAAACAAACACTTTGTGCAATTCTCCACAATTGATGCACTTTCGAACCTTACTGCAATATTTTTCATCGCTGTTATCGTTTGGGCCACAGTCGACAACCGAATCGCACTTCCACTCTTGCGGAATGCACCGTTTACTATTCTCACAGGTGAAATGTCGATCATTGCATTGTCCCGTGCACAATTTTGGGTCTTCGTCGCTGCCATCAAAGCAATCCTTGTCACCGTCGCACACCCAGTACTTTGCAATGCACATTGTCCCGTCACACTTATGTTGGCTATCGTTGCAGACCACATTCTCGCAGGGACCGCCTTGCTCGACAGACTCGTCGGATGCATCAGGACAGTCCGCCGCCCCGTCACAAACTCTTTCCATAGGAATACACACGCTTGCGTTAAGGGGCGATTGTTTGCATTTAAAGAAGCTGTCATCGCATATGGACGGTTTTACGTAAGTGCTGTCTTTGGTGCACGATCTTCCGTCATTCGTTAATTTGTATCCATCTGAACAGGCGCATACACTCTTTGAGGGAGTACTCAAACATAACTCCGTACAATTGCCATTATTTTGAGAACATGCATTTTCACCTAAAAGACAATACCTATATGCAACTATACAATTTAATTTTGACCATATGACCAATTCACAGCATATGAATGTATTAAAACTTCTACAACTACAATAGAAGACACTATTCAATAAAAATAGTAAAAGTTTAAATGAAGGTACGTATGGAAGTGTTATAGTGCATATCTATGAAAAAGCTTGAAAATGACTATTCTGACTTCTGAGGAATAAGAAAAGTGAAGGTTAGAGTTAGAGTTAACGTTCACTCAAACGTAGCGGAGCGCGGCGAAGCGCCTTTTTCGCTCACATTGTTGTAAATAGGCATACGCTAATTCAAGACGGCCTGGAGTTCTTAAGAAAAAGGCTTTTCAGGTAAAATAGGATCAAGAGGTTATATTTTCAAGTTTCAAAAACGGCAGGATACATTCAATTCATCTTGAAATTAGTACAATTTGACTTATAACGCTGCAAGAATAACCTAATGTTTACAAACCGCTACCACCTATACGCCATTTGTAAATTACATCAGCGCCTCTAGTACCTATAACGAGTGAGCAAAAAAATTTTGATTCAGAGTTGGCCCTGAAAGAGAGAGATACACGTATAGGTAGCATATGTGTAATTGTCTCAGTAACAAGAGTAGTTTTTACTGCACAAGTAAGTAAATATAATACCTACCTACCTACTTAAAAATGGAGGGCAGGTGCCATATCACTTCGGAGGCACTTTTAGAGGATATGCCAGACAATTAAAAATAACTCAATCTCAAATCAGGGAACAAGTCGTCCCTCCTTCCTTCCTTTAGAGGTAGTGGTAGGGTGAAAAATTTTTTCGAAAATATTCACGGAGCGCGTGCGGTTCAAGCGGATGGGGGCAACATTTTGGGTCAGGGATGCGTAGTCGGATGAATCTCGAAACCGCAAATGGTGGCCGTATCCCTCCGTCGAGGTGAGTAAAAATATCCACCTTCGGGACGCGTATGCAACAAGAAAATAGTGAATATTCAAAACCTGGAAACGGATCTTGTAAAAACTGACTAAAAAGAAGAACTTGGAGTAAATGAAACTGTATGTGGAGAAGAAGATAATCGCTCCACCGGTTTTCCCACCGCGGTACCTTCGCTTTCGTGTTTATAAAACATAAAAATTCATGACTTGAAAACGTTAAGAACTACGGAGACGCCGACGCAGCTAAAGGGAGTAGGAAGGATGCGTCGAATGCAGTAGAAGAGGAATTTTTACGCCCCGTGTCCACAAGAAGTTTACGAAAAGCAAAAGATCACGTTTTCGAACCTGGGGGGTTTTAAGAATTAAAAAAAATGTGCTATTGTCTGCGTTTTGCCGGTCCGTCCGTCCGGACTCACTTCTACCGTTTTGAACTACTTCTAGGGAAATGGTCCTAGAGTCCTGGAATTTTTTGCACTAGGTAGCCTATACCTTGAAAGTGTGCCAGATAGCCATCAATTTTCGCTGTCTAAAAGCCCCCCCCCCCCACGAATTATTTTCATAGCGCGTTCGCACGTCCAGATGTAGTATGGGGTCTTATGGACCTCATTGCCTCTCTTACTAGTTTGCGTTATTCTTCGATAATACTATCCTTGTTCCTCACCGCAATGATGTCAAATTGACATATGATTATATTGAAGTATTAAAACAAAACATAATCTCCTTGTGCTGCCATTGTCACGTTTGGCAAGCATGTGCTGTATGTCCATAAGCACCATACTGCATTTGGAGGTGCGAACGCGCTATAGAAACTAATTTTATCCTTCCTGGTACTCTAATGAAAGGTCTCAACGAAAAGAATTAATTTCTACCAACCATAGCCCTCCTCCTCGACCTCTTATCGTGATTGGGTATATTCCCTTATACCTCAAGAACGGATTGTCGGAAGAGGGTACTCACGAAGGGCGATTGAGACGTCTGCAAGAAATATATCCATTGGTGATGTCAAAACAAAAACAATTTCGGTTAAAAAAAAATGTGCTATTGCTTGCGTTTTGTCTGTCCGTCCGTCCGGACCCATTTCTACCGTTGTGAACTACTTCTAGGGGAATGGTCCTAAAGTCCTGGAATTGTTTGTAGTAGGTAGCCTATACTTTGAAGGTGTGCCAGACGGCCATCAAATTTCGCTGTCTAAAAGGGGGGCCCCCCCACGAATTATTTCCTGAGATGCTGTTTTTGAAAGTTAAACGTGCATACTTTTACATACGACAACCAATTGGTCTCAGATTTTGCATACGCATGCCTTTCGTGGTGCCAAGTTAAACTTTAGAAAATGGGGAGGGGGGGGGGGGGGGTAAAATTTAATTTTATCTCTCATTGTATTCTAATTAAAGGTCTCAACGAAAGGAACCGTTTTCTATCAACTACTGCCCGTCTTTCTGTCCTTCTGTCCTCTTATCAAAGTACGGGGTGCAGGGGGAGGAGGGAGTGGAACTAGTTTCATCCTTCATGGTACTCTAATGAAACAATTTATACTTGTTTATAATAAAACGTAGCATAATTTTGTTGTACACAAAAAAGAAAGTTGTATGACGCCACTCTACTAAAAATTTAGACATTAAAAAAGTTTTTGACAGTTTTACATCATTTATAATGCCTGATTACACTCGCAAAATTTTAACGAAATCATAGTAACGGTTTTGGGGAAAAATTTTTTTTTAGTTTTTTAACTTTGACATTGTTGTCTCAGTTTTTTATAATACAACCTGCCACAATTTTTGTAGGTCGTACACAAAAAAATAAGGTCTTTCGAATAATTTAATAAAAATTTTAGGTTGCTATTTGAAAAAAAAAAGTTCGACGCCGTTGCGGCGCTCCAAAATTTTTTTCGAAAATCCGGCTCGTTATTTTTCGTTTCAGTATGCCTAATATACGTACCTATCCAAAATTTGAACAAAATCCGTCGAGCCGTTACCTCGGAAAATTGCCAACGTACCTACGCACATACATACAGACGGAAAAAAATTGTATCTTTTAAAAGTTGCTTTAAAAAAATCTAAAACGTCGACATTTGATGAAATGATGATAGTTCTGATGGGAACATTTGCTGTGAAATGGCAACTAAAACACTAACAGCGAGACTAAAAGCACATACGAACCTGTTTGTAACTTTGAATCGTAAATTTTAATATCAAAAATAGGAGGATTGTTGTCAACGATTTTCACGACCGTCCCATTCTCTGGAAAATACGCCATAACACTCCCCAATACATACTCGATAAAATAAATCGCCTTCCGATGCAAAGCCAAACCAAACGGACGATTTATCCCTACCGAAAGTACCAAATTTCTATTATTACCATCGAAGTTGACACTTTCTATCCTTTTAAGATGCGCATCGCACCAGTACAGTTTCTTTCCAACTAAATCTATTGTCAATCCAGTCGGCCAATCGATTTCATGCTGAAGAAAAGTCTCCTGATTTTCTCCGTTCATCCAAGAACGCTGGATGGATCCGTTACCGGGTAGTATGTGCGACCAGTCAGCCCAGTACATTATTCCCTTTTTAGGATGTACAACTATGGATCTTGGATGCATATTGTGGCTTTGAATGAGAATCTTTTTATTTTTAAAATTGGACATGCGCACCACGCTGATACGTCCCAGGGTTTCATCGGTCCAGTAGAGATTCTTTGCCATCCAATCAAATGCTAGCCCCTCGCATCTTTCCATGATGAGATTTAAAGATACAGAATTAATTGTTCCATTCATTTTTGACAGCTTTATTGTTGACTGTTTACCATCTGAATATATTATGGTATCAGATGCGATGTCGAAATCAATCGCCATAGGTTGAGATAAACCCATTATCGGCGCCATGGCGTCCCTACCACCCTGCAATGGGATTCCTTTAATCGATGCCGGTTTACTCCTTGCAACTGCTAAGAATGTTGTGGGTTTTTCAATGGTACAGTTTCCAGTTGGCAGCAATGTATAGCCAGAAGCGCAAACGCATTTCGCAACAGGATTGCTCTTCAGCCAGTACGGGATGCAAAAGTGTTGACAACCACCGTTGTTTGTTTTACAAGGATGAGAAACTACAAAATAATCCTAAAGGTAATAATTTAACAATAATTCTTACCATCAGGTTGTCTTTGCCGGTGAAATACGTGCAAATTAAACGGCCTTTCTTCATCTTTTAAAATTTGCCTTTCCGTTAATTTCATCTTGTGCAACTCTCGAATGGTGTCGTTATGCCAAGAGGAAACAAACAACCGGCTTTCGAACACAGTGATCCCGTAGAGATTCTGCACAGGAAATCCCTTCATGATAGTTCGTCTATTTTCACCATTATAATCAATACGTTCCACATAATCTAAGTACGTGTCCACCCAGTACACGTGACTTGTGGGGAAATCGACAGCAACCCCATAAGGATAGACTATTTTATGTACTACAAGCGGAGTTCGTTCCAATCCGTCCAATTTGCACCTTTCCAACATCGGCGCGGTATGGCCCCATTTAGTAAAGAACATGTAACCCTTAGTTGCGTCTAGCGCTATTGCTCGAGGCTTGCTCAATTTATGCTCTAGAAGTATATTGCACCAAGCTAACGAGCTGGTACACAATAAAATAACTTCGTGAACATCATCAAGAAAGTACCAATTTCCGGAGACCCAATCTAACGCCATCTGTTGTATGGAATCGACTTCGGGAAAATTTGAAGGCGTGCCCAGTTCCCAACTTTGACTCATATCGTCAATACTGACACACACTATGGCGGTCTTAGTTAGATTGTAATGGATGTAGCATGCCGATCGATTTCTGTGAGAAAATTCTAGAGAGTTGCTAGTTAATAGTTTTAACGTCGAATTTCCCGGCCATATCGTTCCATTTAAACTTAATCGTCGAATTTTTGTACGAGTGGAATATATTAAAGAAGCTTCTTCTGTGGGAGGCACTGTAAAGGAATTGTACAATTATACACGTATAGGTACCTAATGAATTAATTTAGTTAACTTGAATAGGTAGGTACTACAATATTGTTGTGTTATTCACATACAAAGTGTAAAATCAGCCAGTGTACGTGACTTTTCAAATGTTGAAAATTTATATACGTAGCTACGTGCGAGAAAAACCCCACTAGACTTGTTTTCTAATTTGACATATGGGTTTGGTGACACTTACCATTAACTGCCTGACAGTCTGTACCATTTTTCACATATCCCGGAACACAAGAACATGTAAAGGAACCCACTGTATTTTTACAAGTCTGGGCGCAGGTTCCATCAATATCACACTCATTCGCATCCACACACTTAGTACCCTTAACCCTATATCCATCTGCGCAATAACACATAGGACCCGTCAACGTCGGCTTACACTTATATTCACACTGTTGATTGCTACACAAAGTTTTGTTCCTACAAAAATCCCATTCGTCGCTATTGTCCGGACAATCACCGTGTCCGTCACAAAACAGGCTGAGTGGACGGCATTCAAGAGTTTCTCCGCACCGTGCCTCATTCCACGAGCAAAGTTTTCCCTGTTGACACTGGTGTGGATCTTCGTCGGATGTGTCGGGACCCAACTCCGGCGACGTGCCGCAGTCGGGCTCACCATCACACATCCAACCGATGTGTAGGCACTTTTGCGTCAGCTCGCACTGAAACTGACCTGGACGGCAATTACGGTTTGATGCGCAGTCTCCAATTTCGTCGCTGCCATCGTCACAATCCATATGTGAGTCGCATCTCCAATGCGCGGGTATACAGCGACCATTATCGCAACGAAATTGTGTACTTGAGCAAGCACCTGAAAAGAAAATCCAAATATAAGTACCAGTAAGACGGGAGCTTTCAATCATATTTTACTTGATAATTGTTATTGAGAAATTAAAAGTTGAAACAAAAATAATTATAGACCATAAGTTTCGAATTTATTCGCGTCGGTGAAGAATTGTGTCCAAAATAGCGATGTCTATCACGATAGATCTCCGAAACCTTAAAAGATACGACGATGGTCAAATTAAAAATTATTATCATGTTTTAAAAGAAACCAGAACACTCGCCAGAACATTCATATTATCAGAAAATATTCCAAAAAAACCACAATTTGCCGATTTGGTTATTACTTTTTTCTGATATAGTTGAACAGATACAAAATAATAAAAATCACTTTCTCATTGCCCCTTTTTGATCTCTACAAGATACCGTTGAGAAATTTTCAATACGACGTTTCGTTTCGGAGAAATCATCATCAACTTTATTTTTTTATATGGCCCGTAAAAAAAGTACATACTGTATTGCGTAACATTTTTTTATTGCGAATACAATTATGTATGGCACAAAAAAAAACAAAAGTTGGAAAGTGCGTCGGTTTAAACAGGATGGTGCACTCGCACACAACTCCCTAATCGTAAGAGACTACCTATCGGACAAAGTTCCTGCAAAATTTGTCCGATAGATATTCTCGCACGAAATGAAATTCTACAACCAAAAAAGAATTGAGAATATCGATCATTGACTGATTCATATTTCCGGATGTACTTCACCGTTGGTTTTGACATTACGACATTCTCTTTGTGTTCAACTTCGCCTTATTTTGAGATGCGCTACTATTGTATACATAAATACTATTATTAATTTAATTAGAAACAAAAATGACAAGATAAATAGGCGATGAAAAATTTTCATATAATTTTCAAATTATTGGATCAATTAATTTCAAACTAGCAATTTAATAAATTAATACAGAAAGTTGTTTAACGTGAAAACCATAGCGTATATTATTATTATTATCTATTTAAGTTTTATTTTCTTTAAGTAATCATTATCATTTAGTACTGGCTGTATTGGGCCGATTGAGCGGTAGCGGCAAATCAGAAATGTTTTTCAAATTGTGAAGTTACAGTATCTGGCAATTTTAAACTTGAATCGTTCCCTCTTTTATGCACTGATTTATGGAGAAACCCGTAAGCTACGTCACTGGAAATGCTTTACCGCGCATCTTAACAGTTCAAATTTCACAAGGACGGAAGTAAATGCGCGTCATGCTTTTCACACTAGAGATGTTTTAGTCAACGCAGCGTGATTATTATTATGAATATAGTTCGGAGTGCGTGCGTTTATTCTGTTCAAGACATTTAGGTAAGGTTTACTTTTCTTTGTAAATTTATCATGAAATATGTAGGCTGTACGGCATTTGTTTTGTATTACTTGCTGTCGATTTAGTACCTACGTGATATGATACATTGGATTTTCCAAGGCCTTATTATAACATTGCGCAATGTTTAATGTTTGTATACCTATAGGTGAGATAAGAATTAGGAATAGCTTAATTGCTTAGTTGCTATAAATGGCCCATACAAATGCTTTCTGTACATTGAGAACGTTGCTTTAGAGGTACGTTTTATTTCAAGGCATTTCGTAGATTCCGATACGTACCTAGGTAGGGTGGAATTTTTTCACAAATGCAGGTTACATTTCATTTAAGATTGATTATACAGCCATACAATATGTTTATACAAATGAGTGTTGTAGGTATAGTTGTTGGGTTTCGGTACGTAGGTAGGTAGAGTGGAACTTTTCCACAAATCCAAAAATCTCGATAAGGGAATCGAATTAGTTAAAATCGAATTTCACATTACGTTTTTAGCTTTTTCGTATATTGTACGATTTTTGAGTTACCTGTACCTATAGTTCAGTATTGGTCTTATGCGTTACCAAATGTGTTGTTTCACAAAAGACTCAGGTTGGAGAAACTTATTAGCATAACAATGGCAGGTAGCAAGTATATATAAATGTTAATAATAAGCTAATTTGGATTAATAATCAGGTGATAAAAATAAACTGTATTTTTATTTACATTACATTACATAAATTAAGTAATAAGTTCAATGTCACTTTCACTACCGCTATCATTGTTTATAATAAGAGGTTGCACATAATCCATGATATGATCAACTTGCTATTTTTTTTCAACTTTCTCAATATGTTGAACATAATTTGCCCAATTTTCTTTTGTTACTTTCTGGTTCCTGATATGCTTCGGACTTGTGGTTCTTAAAATGAATTATTTTGACCCACGGCTTATTTAATATTTTGGAATTAAATATTTTCTAAAGTTGGCTTTTATTTCAATAAATGTTCAAAATGGTTTCCGTTATTGGTAAGACAGTAATATAATCTATTCTCAAACTCTTGTCAAACCTTTTCAATTGTTGGTTTTGCAATATTTCGACATTCTTGAATTATTCTCTGTTTTAGTTCGTCTAATGTTCGCCGGTTGCGTTTTAAATACGACAGATTTCAAATGTATCGTATTAGTTTATTTTTTGATTTGCACGATAATTACTAACCTAAATATATTTGGTATGGTTGGAAAGCATTTTTTCAGAGCTTTCCAACGACGTATCACACATGGGGGGTCACTATTTAAAATTTAAAAGTTGGGGTGACTGGGGCGCAGGGGATTGGAGGGGGTGCATCGCCAACTATGTCATTGTGATTCCCCCTCCGAATTACCAAAACGGATTTTGATTTATTTAAAATATCTCGTTTATTTACTAAGACATGGGGAGTGGTAAGTTTTCAAATTGCCACCCTGTATAGAAGATATATTGTTGAGTTACAATGACCCTGGCGCTATTTTAAAATCTACAACGGGACAAGCTACGATAAAGGCAATTCGATAATGTGCCAAGCTAGACACAGGTAATTGTTTATAATACCTCGATTGTTTATGCGCTAGGAGTTTTCGATGAGCTTTCGTGAAGGTTTCAATGTGTCTGGTTCCGACCCCTGAACTTGGATGTAGTTGGACGCACACGGACCGACCAAAATCTAGGCGGGACTTATCGTTGATTCTATGTGGGAATGAAATTGGCTTCCCAGGTGGGTTTCGCACGGACCGATCACGGAATAGACGCGCTGTTTTCTGTTATGGAAATTCTTAAGTATCTCGTTCTCAAAAATGTTGCTAAAACTTTCGTTTGGGCGCTGCTACCGCTCTATGGAGATGGAATTTAGTTCTCTGTTTAATTAGTGTTCCTAAATAAATACTAAACGAGAGAGTGCATTGTTACGAACTGTCTTTCATGCCTTAATCTAAGCATGCAATGTGTATACGTATTAGGATTATACAGACCAATCGCAAATATTATATCTCTAATTAAATTAATTAATATTAATTGAAAAAAATTTACCTTGTATTGAAGTATTCAGATAGTGGGTTCGCACGGAATATAATTAACAAAGGCTTCTAAATTGCACATTTCTAGTCAGACGGTGTCAACAATATGGCACCTTTTCGAAACGGAATCGACGAATTTCACTTAACGACTAAATTACGCCCCTTTTTACTTCCTTACTCTACAATGAACGATTTTTCACTACCCATCCGAACGTTTGTCTTTTCTGCTTGAACGAAACTCATAACTTGGTACATACAGGGTGTCCCAGGACGAATAGGCAAAATTTTGGGGAAAAAAGTAGACGTTATTTGAAGCCATAACGCTAATAAACTTTATTTTTATTCTCAATCGTTTTTAATCAACCTCACTGTAATTCAACCTTGAACGTTAATGCTCTTCACCATCTTTCTTCTTAAATTTTGCGTAATTTTATAATTTATGTTTATATTATTTATACCTTATTTTACCTTTATAACAAATATATTTCCAAGGAGCGATTAATAACATTTACTGTAGGTATGTAATATACATTAATAATATCATTTATTGTATAATAAAAATCAATTGTATGCGATTTGTGGATGAAAGTTGAATCACAGAAAAGTATCGTAGTTGAATTATTCAAGAATTACATACACGGCGGCATGAGTAATTGTCTAAATTGCAGGGGCGCTGAGCAGTACTGCTATCTCGACTGCTATTATACTCGTAGTGTCCTACACAGTAGGTCTAGCCATTTAAATTTGAAGTAGGTATTGTAAATTTCTAATTTATTTTAACAATGTTTTAAAGTGTAGCTCGCTGCTTGATTTTAATAGAGTTACACAGAAGTGCAAAAGATGAGGCATAATGCTCAAGCATGTATGTCATTAAAAAAATTGTTAATTTTATAGAAACGCAAAATTGGCCTACATTAATCTATAGTAATGCATGCGATCCCATAAATGATGAATTTGTTATACCATAGACAACTTGTATATGCTGTCCTATACCGTTGACTTATACATTTATTTCTTCTATTATACATTTTACCATATTTATTTTGCCTTGATTGCCGGTATGCGAATGAATACAGACTTGTTTTAAAAATCGAGACAAACGCTTCAAAATCTGGCAAGATGCCGGTGTCATTACTTCTAGGCGATTTTAAAAGTGCGGAAGTTGACACAACTCGCACAAAAAAGTAAACATTACTTACGCCAAACATCTTTTTCGACCTAAATGTACGCATTATTTATTTTTAAACTTCTGGCACAGAAAATAATATGTCAGTACATTCATCAACGTTTTGTGAGAAACAGTTTATAAAACCAACGAGCTTTAAACTGTGCAGAAAATAAACCAAATGTGTTTGCATGAATAAGTACCGCACAGACTTGTGTGGATACCGAATTAACTAAATCGAAATCTACACTGTTTAAAAGTACCTAAGTATAACAAACAGTTTTGAATGGTTATCTTACATTCGGTTCTTTAATAGTTCTCATCAGGGTTCTCATACTTCGGTCGAGAAACTTTTGGCGATTCCTGAATTCTAACCACCTGTGTTAATTGAAAAAAAAATCAGTATTTATAGACGAATTCTGTGGGAAAACGTCCAAATTCATTGACTCGAATACTCGATGTTAAATAGGTGAATTTCATGCATTTTTTCATTAATTGCTGGGAGTAAAAAGTTATTTTTTGCGCGATCCCAAAGAAGAGAATTGGTACACCTTCGATCGTGCACATTTTGACGAATGGATGGCGAAATCGATATTTGTGCAAATTTTTAAATTGTATAAGGCGCTATTGCAAGTACTTTCACTTTCGATCCGTGTTGTAACACAGTTTTCAAGATATTTATCTTTTCGCATTCGGTTCTTATACGGTTCTGTCGACAAGAGAACTCTTGGCGATTGTTTCACCCTAATCGCCTGAATGATTTAAAAAGGTAAAAATAGGTATTTATAGAGCAATTTCGGTAGAAAACGTCCATTTCTGATGTGCACTTTGACCAAGAGTTCGATATGTATACAATTTCTGTGTAAAAATGTTTACTGATGTGAAACTATATCACATAAAAGCTATCCAGCAAAGGATAACTCCGCTCCTTTTTTCGTGCAGCTTTCTCAGTGCCCTCCAAAAAATTAATTTGATTCCTTTTTAGTACATTTATTTAACACGGTCACATACAAAAGGTAAAGTATGTCGCTATGAACTCAATTTTAATGGCTTTTTTTTTATTTTTTAAACCAGTTAAAATAATGATCGAATCTTTAAGAGTAACGCCGCCCTTACCATTTAACTGATAAAAATCTAAATTTCAGACACCCTTAAAACAATCGATTATTACTATTTTGTATAAAACAAAACATGGTTACCTTACTTATACAGCAATTTAAGCAATGTAAGGACTACCGCTTGATCGTTCAAATTTGAAGCACTGTTCAGGGCCGGCGCTAGCAATTTAGCCGCCCCGTGCAAATTTAACTTTGCCGCCCCCCCCCCCAAACCGCCAACCAATAATTTACAATTCACCTAAAGACTAAAACTATATACTATAAACAATAGATACGATAAATCAACATACCTGTGTTATTTATCGAGTTCGTCAGGATTTACAAACGTTTCGGCGAGTGTTTCGGATTCGCGAATTTCGTTATTATCGCGATTTTTAGAAGATTCTCCGAATTCACGTTCCGTTTCGTAATCGTCTTGTAATCTTTAATATTTATTTAGCGCATCGCTTTGTTTTCGTTTTTCATTTTCGAGAATCGCTTTTCGTTTGCGATACTGAGCACCAGAAAGACGATGTCGTTTTTCGGACATGTTTATGCCGTATACTAAGCGTTGCGAAATCCACTGATTAAGTGATATATAAAAATTAGAAAAATATCAACAATCAACGACGCGACAGTACTTGCTGAAGTAACTATGGACACTAACGAAAATTAAGAAAATTTGTAATCTACACCTAGGTATTTATACGTACTTCTTTGAATAATACAATGGCACCATTGAGTTGTCGCGAAAATTTACAAAATCGTGAGACGTGAACCGTGATAACTGATATGTTATGACTACACATAATTAAAAAAGGAAGTAGGTATAGTAAGCCGTTAAGTGGTAACACTAAATAAAGTAATATAA